ATTCGATGACTGCCCGTGGGTGTCTGTTGTTCCGTAGTTTGCGGCGTGTAGTATGGGGGATGAGTCGATCGTGTCGTCATCTGAGTCTTCGGCGGCGGAGAGTGACGCCTCATCAGCCTTGTCGTCCCTGCCAAAGAGCTTCTTTGTCTTTCTTGCTAGTGCTTCGACGAAATCTTGGCCGGGGTATTTGATGGGCGCGTCAGGGTCGACGTAGATGTAGTAGCCAGTCTCCTCGTCTTCGGGGTGGTCGTACTCGTTCCAATATCTTTGCTGCACTTCCGGCTCTGGCTCGGACCGGCTCATCGGTGGAGGATAGTCAGAGTAGGGCTTGCGGCTCTTCTTCCGGAAAGCTTGTAGTGGTGGCGGGTCGACAAACTCGTGCACTGAAGTCGCAGAGGACTCCTCATAACGAGAGGCCAGTGGGCTGGATTGTCCATCGTATGAGGTGTTGGATGTCGAAGTTGCTGGAGGCGATAGTCCAACTTGTGAGCCAGTTGCGCTCTCCCGGCCTCTGCGACTCCGCTTCTTCACCGGCTCTGGCAGTTTCCGGATATCCTTCTCGAGGAGGGAGATCCAGAAGGGGGCAGACATGGCGCTGGGTTTGCAGCAAGTCCAGACAGCATGTGCTTCTAGTGAGAAACCTCGAACGCGTTCAACCTGCAATAGTTAGTATACTGATTGTGTATAACTTTGGATATCGACGTACCAAATGACTGCGGTCAAGAGTCTGGATGAGCGCCATTGCTTGGTTGCCTTCACGCCGAATCTCTAGAACCGCATGAGGGAACTTCTTTGCTGATTCTGCTCGAGCAGCCGAAGTCCAGTCGTCATCTGCTAAATCTTTGTACAATGAATCTTTCAGACAGATGTCTTTATCCAGTGTCGCCCATATGCCTCCTGTTGAGTTGTTATGGAGTCCAGTGAATCGTGTGCGTTTGGAAACCGCACCAGCGATAGGCTTGGTAGATTGGTGCTCAGCAAGCCACTGTCGAACCGCCGGTGCATCGTCTTTAGCCGATCCGTTCTCAGAATGTTTCATGTTGTCCTCTCGTACAGAAGTGTCGAGAAAGCTTTGCAGACGCTTGCGCTCCATCTTGGCTGTCTTGACGGCTACCGGTGACTGCCCCTGCGCATCCGCCTCTGTGCATACAACAACCGCGGCTTCGCCAGATGCGCAACACCGCACTTGACCAGCGGCCTTTATGCCGATGCTTCCCTGTAGTTCTTCCGTCGCTCCAATCGTACTTGCGTTTTGCTTGAACGCGAAAGCTTCAGGGTGGTCCAAGACAACTACCCCAGTGGTGTCTTCGCTGCCAAGGTACGGATCCAGGTTGGTCGTGGAGGAATGGCGGCGGAGAGGCGTTCCTTTGCCCGATGCGTGCCGTCTGGCCTTGCTGACGTACAGGCGCGTATGTTGGAGCAACAGGACCTGTGCCTCGACGATATGGTCTGGATGTATCCAATACGTTGCCTTGTTGCCCTTGGAGCCCAAAGGCACCGTGTTCATCACCAAGTCAAAGTCGAGATCTCCGCCCTTCTCAATGCTTCTAGATATGTGTGCCGCGGACGACTGGCCGTTGGTGTTCTCGGCATGCGCCGTAGACGTGCCATCGGCATCAAAAGCGGAGCGGAGCGCGTCGAGCACATCGATGTATTGGTCCAGGAGATAGCCCAGATCCAGCTGGAACAGGCTATCCGGCCGGCTACTGATCTCCTGCTTAAAGACATGACTGAGTTCCCTGTCCTTTGTCCAGCGCTTGTATTTCTTGAGGATCTTGATGAAGCCCGTCCGTTGGGTGACTTGGAATCGCGAGAGCGACCTGATCTCCTCGCCGGTCCTGCGGTTGTGTCAGCGGGCGTTCTCTCTACGCGTGTTCCGGCGCATTCCGCCTACCTTGCGACGTCTGCATCTATCTTCGCATATCTCTCCACTATCCGCGCGGGAAGACGCCCGCTCGCTGGATTGCGTCGCGCGCGCAGCTGGTCTAGCGTCTTGCTGATATGTTCCAGCCTGCGCTCGATTTCCCCGCTCTTGCTGCGCACGAAGAGATTGATGCGGTCATGTTGTTGTGCCAAAACATTGAAGAAGGTGTCGCCGAATGCGCGCTCGGTGCTCTCGCCCTGGCCTGGGATGGATACGGCCTTGTTCGTGCCGGGCGTCGTCTGGTGCTTGATAAGGTCTTTGAGATAGTCGTAGTCGATGTTATCTGCATGCGCGTGTCTGTCAGCGGAACGCTCTCCGTGTCGCGCCGTAGCGTGCGGGCGTGGTACTCACAATGGCCCCATTCTGGTATGGACCTCTGTCTGAGAGTGTCGCCGTACTTCATTCCAACAAATTGATAAGTGGGGTGGTGGAAATAGGCCCAATTGGTTGCGTCGTGTGGGTTTGTTATGAATTATGAAAGCGATAAACTGGCACCGTCAGATAAGCCCTCGAGGGTTCATGATTGCACGGTCGTGCAATATACGTGCGAGCGTTGCACGTTCACACAGTCAGACAGCAATTGAGCCGTTGGACCGTTGAACCGCCGAGACAGGGCGCCAGCCGGACTACGTACCGTTGGTTTCAACTGGGTGAATCAAGATAACACCTCCGCCGTCGTCATGCCAAGATATCCGGCTTATGACGCGCTGCTAGCCGAGTATGTGAATTTTAAATGTGAGACGAGTGCGGAAACCTAGAGTGAAAGTGCCAGAACATCATGGCGCTGTGAAGGGTGTATGTACTTATCGATCGAGCGCAGGTGTTCCTCGATAGCTTCGATCCACGCTATGATGGAACCTTGGAACCCTTCTCCGGTGCTACGCAGGCATCCTTGTACGTGCGCAAGGGCCCACATCCCATGCAGCCGGGATATCATCTCCACTCTACACCCAATGTTATCGTATGACGGGGAGGGAACTGCTGAACGTGTTCCCTGGTGTTGAACCTCGGTTGGTGAGGTAAGCTTATCATTCTCCAAGGGTCAGCCTAGAGTGTCTACAGTACAGCCTCAACGTGTGACCAACCACTACTGATAACCTAGCATCTTCAAGCTCGATGTCTCCGTTAGAGAGCTTGTTGCTTCCCGCACGCCATAATCGATTCGAATTGAGCAAACGACATTAGCCGTCTGCCGTGTTGCAGAGAAGCATCACGATCCACAGTTCAAAGCGGCAACCGGCATGTACCGCGCAATGCCGGCACGTTGAACATCGAGACGAAGCCTCAGCTGTGGCTGCCATCACAGTCAATCTAGATCGTCAAGCAGCAGGAGGTATTGCCAGGAAAGACGACAGAATGTCACTACACCAATGCGATTGGCCAATGCAAGTATCTGGAGAAAATTGGAGAAGAAAAGCTTGCATCTAGACAAGGATAGACGTGCAGCTTAACGAACCTCCACTTGCCTGTTGCGAGACGAACCAGGGATGTTCTCTACACCACACAAGACATCTCTACACAATTGGAGCCGCGGAAGAAATTTGTCCCATGATTATTCCTTGCACACAACCTTCTCTTCAGTACGATAACGACATGTCCCCGCATCTATCTGGTCAATGAGAGACAACAGCGATGAATACTCATCGACCGTCCCCACACGATAGCACTTGCGGCCGCCGGCCACCCGTCGCAGGGACCTGGACCCATTGCCGAAGTGGAGCTTCATCATGCCCATCCCGTGGAGCCGCGGTAGTGCTGGCTCAATTGAGCGCCTCCGAGGAGCTACACGACTCTCGTCGTGCTAGACGATGGAGACAAAGTGAGTCAGACCAAACATTATGAACTTGATATACGAGAACGAAGGATGAAGGCAGCCGTTAGTTTCGTCACTAAGTCTACCTTTTTTCATATCACAAGTCCTGAATGAAACGAGTGGCAATCCCACATATCCAAATCAACGAATTTGACCGTCGAAACGAGGTTTCTGCAAAGTAATCCGCCAAACCAATCCATATTCTCTCAAAGGATCGATATGCATACCCGAGTTCCACGGAGCTACGGCACTTGTCCGCCACATTGGCGATGCTTGTATCAACATCTGCATGCACGTCTGCGCGTCTCCATTTCATGCTGTTAGTCCTGCGTCTTGAAAGGTCGCGTGCTCACCTGCCTATACCGGCTCCGCTATGACGAACAGGGGTGCTGCATATGTAGGATCGCTAGAACGCCGTATGTGACATCGCGCTTGCATGATCCAGACCCAGACGTTTGGAACGTTTCTGCCACTTGCGTTGCGTGTGTTGCCCACGTGGGTGATCGGTGTGGTTTTCAGGGCTTCAACGTGGTATGTCGGTTCGAGTAATTGTGAGGATTCGAGGTGTAATACTGCCGGTGGTAGGGGTTGATATCGACTCAGAATTGAAGTTTGTGGGGCGCTTCGCTTGCTTGCTTGCTTCTTGTTGCTTCATGTGAAGGACGGGTTGCTTAGATATCGGTTACATATACGATTGGTCTTGGTGATGCGGTCACATATGACTTGGCAACCGCTGAAATGTCTTGATCATGATGATATAATAGCCTGTGCTCCAACAGATTTGAATCCAATGGCTCGTTGCGTCCAAAATCTGTGGCGCAATGACCCTGCGTATTGGTCAGAACATGTGAGCAGTCTTTAAACAGTAAGCAATATACGCACAGTATCAGTCCAGCGCACTTCCCAGAACAACATACACGCTGAGCGAATCTCAGCACTTCATCATCGCCCAAAGCTTCACACCTTCACCCCCCTCTCGTCCCCTCCCCTCCCCATCAACCTTCCCCTTCCCTACAACAATCTCCTCCAACATCTGAAACCCCAAGTGCGTATACACATCCCTACTTCTCGGGGACGTGGATTCCAAAACCACAGGCCACCCCTTCTCCCTCGCCATCTCAAGAACAGGGCGAATGAGATCACTGACTTTAGCCGGGTTTGAAGTAGAAGGGTGAGTGCGGTCGTTTGCTAAAAGGACTAGATGTAGCATGTGAGTTGCCTGGGGAGGAATGAAGCGTTTCCGGACGTGGTGAGCGAGGGAGTTTAGTTCTGTTACGGCGGGCGGGTTGTGTGGTTCTTCGATGTAGTTTTCTGTTACTTCTTCTAGTGTCCTGCGTGAACTATCGTTAGTATCTTTGAACATCCACTCCTAAAATTTTGTTCTCTTTCAACTCCTCCATTTCTTGAAAGAGAAACATCTCATGATGATATGTCATGTACTTACCAGACACTAGCCACCCCACTTCCAGGAACCGTCATACACCTCGCTCCAGCCTTGATAAAATCCGGCACGATGAACGCAAAAACCTCCTTGTTCATCTCCTCTCCAATATCCGTCTTGCCTGATCCCTGCATTTCATCCAGGAGGATATAGCGTTGAAAAGCATCGGGTTCGAATTGCTTGGCGAGAATTTCGATCGTGTGGTCTAGCGTGTCTTCTATGAGACCAGCAGGGACGGGTATTTGCGACATGATGCTGTTACTGAGGAATTCTCGGCAATTGAAAGCAGGCTTAGGAAGAATATTGTGGGTGTTGATGCAGGTGGAGGTTCATGGACTTTTGGCAGTATACTAGTAGTTGATGGGGTCGGTCCGAATTTTCAATGCTCCGGTCCGAAGTTCTCTACATTATGAGCCGGCTGGGCAACGTGTATTACGGTAGGTGTTAGACGTCGCTAGCTTCATCCGACCGGTTGCTCGCTCGTACGAGGCTTCCGCGGGCCCCGCAGCGGTACCTGTTCACCTGCCCTACGCTGTAACATACTTGAACGACTGGATTCTGTTGTGGGGCAGGACCTGGGGTAGGCCGTGCATGACGTGTATACATCACGCGTAGTACGTCTCACGTTGTGTCGAAGAAGAGGGTGTTTGGTCTCAAATGAATGAAGCGTTCCGACTTGGAATGCCGTCTTCTGCCTTGATTGAACGCCATACTATACACGTAGATTAAACGCCCGCATATGTTGACACTGAACAAACTTGGTACCGCCCGCATTTTAAGACGTTTAACCTGGAGGGAGCAGACTGTTGTCGACAACATCCTGCGCCTCCATTTCCTCCACATCGGCACTGTTGTGTAGCGGGGAGCGCGGTAGAGCCATAAGGCCTGTGTGTGGTTAGCAAATCGGCCATGCCTGAACATCCCACGGTGCTTACCAGTTCTTGCGGACTCCAGGATACCGAATGGAGCAATTAGCTTCATGAAGGAGTCAATCCTGGTAGGCTTCGCGGAAACCTCTACTATGCAGTTGTTTGTGCTAATGTCGAGCACCTTTCCACCGAATTGATGAGTCATGAAGGTAATGGCGCGCAGATGCTCGTGCTTGTGTCGGAGTGCCTGACTGACGGGCAGGTTTGTTGGGTGGTAGTCTTTCCGCAAAGACTCGCGAGCAGCCTCCTGTGCCATTGCGTTGCGCTCCTCGTCTGTCATGTCTGGTTCGTATTGCTCCTCCATCTCCGGGGTCTGCGCCATTTCTCGGTGGTGCGCAAGCAGCTCCTCAAAGTACTCCGGGCCGAGAATCGAGACCTTGGCGAGGAGCAGTTCGCGCTGGACGAGGGGCGACTGGGTGTAGTCAAGCACAGCCCATACCGGGACCAGGTCCTCGAGCTGGCGACGGGCTTGTTCTATGACACCATCCTGCCCCTGCAACACAATTGTCATTCGGGAGAGGTCGTCTACCTCGGTGTTGCAGACGACCAGACTGTCGATGTTGAAGCCGCGGGCAGCCAAGATACCGGATACGCGGGACAGCACACCGGGCTCGTTCTGTACCAAACAGTTGAGGATATGGCTCTTGGGCGGAGCTTGGGATGGGAGCGGCGTTTCGTAGAGGATGTTGCTGACGGCAGCGGGCGCCGACCACGCCGGGGGACGGTCTTCGGTGGGGAGGGGCGCGATGCGACGGTGAAGGGCCTTGTAAGCCAGCGCCTGGGTCGACGAGGAGCTGGATGCCCGTTGTTGCTGGCGGAGGGAGGCGGCGCATTGCCTGTTGAGCAGACTGCGCAGCGGCAGCATTGCTCTCCGGGAAGCCATGGCGGGCAGTGGTCGCGGTGAAGGCGAGTGGGCGAGGAGTGACTGCGGATGTGGATGGGCTTCACGTCAAACTGCCCCAGAAAGTGAAATAGAATCCCCGGCCGATTGTCGGAGGAGCCACCAGGCCACGAACAGGCAGGTTCAGCCGCGGCACGCTACTAAGCGAGTCGCTCCTGCCAGAGCCTAAGATTCATCGACAAACACCAACCAACCCGAGCCTCACCCGCAACACCACAACTATCGCTACGGCCACCCGCATCATGTCTGAGGAACGCCGCCCCCGATCGCGCTTTGATAGCGACGATGCCGAGCGCCCTGTCCGCTCGCGCTTCGACTCAGATCGTCGCTCCAGGTCGCCGTCGCGGAGGGAATCCGAGTCGCATCGCGCCCGTAGCCCTATCGCCCGTGAAGGCACAGACAGCCCTGCATCGTCCAACTTCAAGAACGAGGCGGCAGCAAAGGCAGCGGCGGCGGCTGCGAGGATCAACGCGCAGATTCAGGCGAAGAAGGGCATCCAGCATGTCGACGTGCCACCGATTCGCTCTGTAAGTTCACTCATATCTTTCCAAGCAGGACAAAACTAACAGCCCAGGCCGCTACTCCTCCAGTCGCCAAGTCGCCCGCCTCAAACTCCGCCGCGGCCATAAACAACGAGACGTACCAGCAGGATGGTGACTACATCAAAGACATTGAGATCAATGATCTCCGTAATCGCTACACACTGACTAAAGGAGCTACACAAAAGAGGGTAAATAACTGTTTTTGCTGTCCACTGATCATGTAGGATCATGCCTTCTCCATGCTCTGCTGCGCTGCACCTGGTGCGTGTGCTGCGGGGCTGGAGTTGGTCTCTGTTTGCGCATCTCTCTATGAGAGTCAGAGCTTACTTGATCTAGCACCCCACCCCATTTATCAAATGCTAACCTCCATGTGCCATCTAGATCAAAGACGAGACTGGCGCCGGTACGCATCCCCGATTACAACCATTAACCTTTAGAATACCTGCTTATACATGCAAGATGTCACTACTCGCGGAGAATACTACCCTGACAAGAACATGGCAACTGCTACTGTAGGTGAACACGCAGAGTCGCGCGACAAAGCTAACGGGAACAGAACCCGCCGCTGTACCTCCGCATCACTAGCACCTCCAAAGAAGGCCTGGACAAGGCTGTCGAGATGATCGAAGAGATGATGAAGGAGGACCTTCCTAACCTTGTAGACGAACGTCGTTTCCGCCGTAGAGAGCCGGAGAACTTCGAGCGCGACGAATTTGGCAGAGTATGTTACCCTGTCTGTCATCCGACATGTTGCTAACTCTTCCCAGCGCAAGTGGCCCGAAGAGAAGATTTCCGTAGGTCTCGAGCCTATCAGCGGCTTCAACTTGCGCGCACAGGTTGTCGGTCGCGGTGGCGACAACGTCAAGTTCATTCAACAGGAGACAGGCTGCAAAGTCCAGATCAAAGGTCGCGGTTCCGGCTTCATGGAGCCAAACAGCGGACAAGAGAGCGACGAGCCCATGTACCTCCACATCGCGTTCGTATACCCCGCCATTCCTACCCTCCAATTACTGACAGATCGTAGTGGACCCCGTCCCGAAGGCGTAGCCCAAGCCAAGCAACTCTGCGACGAGCTCCTCGACAAGGTAAAGTCGGATTACCACGCTTACAAGGAACGCCCTCCACCGAACCGTTACGGCGACCGAGATGGCTATGGCGGTGGACGACCGGGATACGGCGATCGTGGCGACCGTGGAGATCGTGGTGACCGTGATCGCAGCCAGAGCTACGGATACGGTGGAGGAAACGGAGGAGGCAGCGGCTACGGTGGCTACGGCGCTCAGGGTCAGAACGGTTACGGCGGCCAGGACACAATCATGTCTCCTGCTGCTGCGACGCCGACTGCTGATGCTAACAACCAAGCCTACGATGCGAATGCGGCACAAGCATGGATTGCCTACTACCAGCAGAACCCCGAGGCTGATCCTTATGCGGCCTACGGTGGGTATGCAGCGTATCTCGCACTCCAGCAACAGCAGTACGCGGCGTACTATGCTCAGAACGGCTATGGCCAGACGCAGTCACCTGCTCCCGGCGCTGGCGCGGCTGCACCACCACCGCCGCCGCCTTCAGAGCCATCCGGCTACGCTGCTCCACCGCCGCCTCCACCAGCTGCATCGCCTTCCAACTATGGCGCCGTCCCTCCACCTCCCGGTTTGTAAGTCCGAAGCAACGACTATGATTTCGCGCTTACGACAGCCTTTCAACTTGACTTGATTGATCGAAACTAGTCCGATTTGCCTTTGCATATTGACTGACAGCGGGTGTGGTGGATTGGTTTGAGGGTTTCTCTACGCTTCGGCACGTTTAGTTACAGGTACGGAGCATCGTCTCGGGCACGGTAATAGTCTGCCAATCTGGAGTTGTCACTTTAGTTAGGATACCAGTGCCATTGCTATAGCTTAAATTTAAGAATGGTATTTCCCATCGCATCATCTCTCAGATTACTTTGACGCGTGCTGTGATTGGGTCAGAGGGTTTCCTTCTCCGCGGTACCTATGACTCGCGTGCATCTCCGCAGTCGGCTCGGTATATTCTGAAGGCACCATTTTTGACGTGCTCGCACCGCGTCGCCGCCACGGACAACCTACGAAAAGATGCGGTCGCAAATACTTCGTGCTGGTCAAGCAGCCAACTGCAGGGTGAGTCTACACATACCATTGGCCGTTCACCATCTCTCCAAACCTCATGCGACTTCCGCAATAGTCATCGTCATCGCGCTTCTCTACTACACCTCCAAGTGACTCAAAATCGCTGACATTCCCTCTACAGCCCCATCTCTCCTCCCTCCGCCAACCGCTCAGATGCCTCGCCACATCGCACTCGCCGCCCTCCGCGCGCAACGTCGACCTCGGCTCGCGCACCCCACCGTATGCCAAACTGCTCTCGCGGCTCGAAGAAGTCCGGCGCGTACTCGGTTCCTCTCGCCAATTGACTTTGGCAGAGAAGATACTGTATTCGCATCTTGAGAGCCCTGAGGAGTCGCTGTTGAGCAATACGAATGGAGGAAGGGATATTCGGGGTCAGGCGAATCTCAAGTTGAAGCCGGATCGCGTGGCGATGCAGGATGCGAGTGCGCAGATGGCGCTGCTGCAGTTTATGAGCTGTGGGTTGCCGAGTACGGCTGTGCCTGCTAGTATTCACTGTAAGTGACGGTCATGGACGAACTGCGATCGAGGCATGTGCTGACTACATACATAAGGTGATCATATGATAGTGGTAGGGACTACCCTTGACGCCGTTCAGGTCCTACTCTGAGCGTTTCGCTGATTAGATCCTCTAGGGAGAAAAAGGCGCCGACACTGACCTTCCACAATCGATAGCGGGTAACAAGGAGGTTTTCGATTTCCTCGAGTCGGCGGCGAAGAAGTACGGAATTGAGTTCTGGCCACCCGGCGCTGGCATCATCCATCAGTCTGTCCTGGAAAACTACAGTGCTCCTGGGCTCATGATCCTGGGCACGGACAGTCACTCACCGAATGCTGGAGGTCTGGGATCGATTACAATTGGTGTGGGTGGTGCGGACGCGGTAGACGCTCTCGTGGATGCGCCGTGGGAGCTGAAGGCACCCAAGATTCTGGGCGTGAAGCTCACCGGAGAACTCAGCGGATGGGCCTCGCCAAAGGATGTGATCCTGAAATTGGCTGGCGAGCTGACCGTCCGGGTATGTCAATTTGAACATGGCGAAGTAGTCCTGGCTAACGCATGTGCAGGGTGGCACTGGCTTCATCATTGAGTACTTTGGCCCTGGTGTGCAATCTCTAAGCTGCACAGGCATGGCGACAATCTGGTGAGACCCTTACATAGTTCAACTCGTGGACAAGTACTAATACGATATAGCAACATGGGCGCTGAAGTCGGCGCAACTACCTCGCTCTTCCCCTTCTCTCCTGCGCACATCCCCTACCTCCAAGCCACACATCGCGGACCGATCGCTGAAGCCGCTGCCAAGATCGCCGGTTCACCAATGCAGCAAAACCTACTTCGACCTGACCCAGAAGCCGCCTATGATAAAGTCATCGAGATCAACCTTTCGGAACTGGAGCCTCACATCAACGGACCATTCACCCCTGACCTGTCAACACCTCTATCCAAGTTTAAGTCTGTAGTTGAAGAGAAGGGATGGCCACAAACATTCGGTGCGGGCCTAATTGGTAGCTGCACAAACAGCTCATACCAGGACATGACTCGGTCAGAAGAGATTGTGAAGCAGGCACTAGCAGCGGGTCTCAAGCCCAAGGCGGACTTCTTCATTACCCCAGGAAGTGAACAGATCCGAGCAACGTTAGAACGGGATGAAACTCTTCAAACGTTTACTGCTGCTGGTGGCACTGTACTGGCAAACGCTTGCGGGTGAGTTTTCAAATTATCCTGATTGATTCCAAGTACTGACAACCTCGACGTCCCTGCATTGGGCAATGGAAGCGTACCGACGACGTAAAGAAGGGTGAATCCAACGCTATCCTCACGTCCTACAACCGCAACTTCCCCGGCCGCAACGATGGTAACCGAGCTACCATGAACTTCCTCGCTTCTCCCGAACTCATCACCGCCATGTCATACTCTGGCTCTACCACCTTCAACCCAATGACCGACAGCATCCCGACACCTGACGGCAAGCCTTTCAAGTTTGCGCCGCCAAAGGGCTCTGATCTCCCCACCGCTGGTTTCGCAGACGGTAACCCAGACTTCATGCCTACGCCAGGTGTCCCCGACGCCAGCGTGGATGTCATTGTCTCGCCTACATCCACCCGACTGGCACTCCTTGATCCTTTCCCAGCATTCCCTGGCTCGGAGTTTACAGGCCTGCGAGTACTCTACAAGGTCAAGGGACAATGCACAACAGACACCATCTCGGCTGCCGGTCCATGGCTCAAGTACAAGGGCCATCTCCCCAACATCTCTGAGAACACACTCATCGGTGCAGTCAACGCACAAACCGATGAAGTCAACGTTGCCTACGACTTCGACGGTAAGACGTCCGGTATCCCAGAACTAGCAAAGAGGTGGCGCGACCAGGGCATCGAGTGGCTAGTCGTAGCAGAGCACAACTACGGCGAGGGCTCTGCCCGTGAACACGCCGCCCTGCAACCCCGATACCTCGGTGGCCGCATCATCCTAGCCAAGTCATTCGCCCGTATCCACGAGACCAACCTCAAGAAACAGGGTATCGTCCCACTCACCTTCGCCAACGAAGCCGATTACGACGCCTTCGAAGCATGCGACCAGGTCGCTACACGGGGACTGCTGGACGTGCTGAAGAGCGGCGGCAAGGGCGAAGTCGAGCTTGTCCTCAAGAAGAAGGACGGTAGCGAGAAGGTCGTCAAGACCAAGCACACACTCTCGCACGATCAATGTGGATTTGTGATGGCTGGCAGTGCGCTCAACCTTCTAGCTGCGAAAGGCAGGGAGATGAAGGAGGAGGTTACCCGGAGTGCGGAGCTGACTGATTGAGTCACGTTTGTATAAACAGGCAAAAGTGAGCATCTACGGCGCTATTGGTGTCACGGCGCATAAAGTATCCTAGCAGTAGACTATTCCCGGTCAAATGAATACGCAACAAATTACCTATAATCAAATCGACGTAAAGAGTGGCAGCGTGGTTTTGATGTTCGGCCCCTCCCCCACCAAGCCTAAAAAAATGTCTGACAAACTTCATGCGCGCCGCTCCGCGTCCTCCGCACAACACTATCTTAACAAGCGCGATACAGATGAGTGAATGGCGGCAAAAGAGAAGCAAAAAGCATCTCGGGCGGGGCTCGAACCCGCAGCCTTTGGATTAACCATGGATACAGTTAGTAGAAGTCCAACGCGCTACCATTGCGCCACCGAGACCGTCAAGCGGAAATAGAGACTTCTGGCAATTTTCCAAAGCCGCACGTAAATATACCGTATAATTTTCATAGATGTGATGGAGGGGAAGGATGTTTGCTGCATGAGGGAATGTCTGATGGAGGTTTGCATGTGAAAACGCGAAGGGTGCCACGTCACGGGCGCGAAGTGGGGGTGCGCAGACATGGTTCGTTTCTTTGTTTGACACGGGGTGTGGTGGGCTGAGCAACACCAGACTGGGGTGAATAACGAAGACACCGATGTCGTTGTTTGGATGAGTTATGTCGAGATTTTGTGCCTACTTCTCAAAGGGTACTGCTCTATATGCGGTCGCACGAAGCTGTGGTACCTCAACGAGGCGTGCCCATGCTAACAGCTTATTAGCAGCTTAGCTCGTGCGAATGTTAGGTATCTTGTTGTATTTATCTCATCTATTATACGTCCACGGCTAGAGCTACCAGCGGGAAAGTTCATATCAAATCCCCTCGATCTTCTCAATCATCTCCAACATAACCTCATCCGTCAATTCATCCACTTCTTCATCACCGCCCTTATTCCGCTCACACACTTGCCGCAGCTGCAGGCGATTCGACTCCCAACTAACCCACGCAGCAGCCTGGAGAAAACAATCCGTGACATCGTCCAGCTTCTTGAGCGCGGTGCCCGCGACTGCTGCTGCAGGAAGCACATCGTCTGAATCATCCTTGGCTTTCTTACGTCGTTTGGATATTGAGAGCGATAGGAGCGCTTGACGGGTGCTTTCTGCATCTGGCGCGAAACTGAAGGTTATGCATGGTACCGTGTCTTGTGTTACCGATGCCGTGGACGCGGGTGTTGCGGTGAGCCAGGAGCGGAGGAGAGCGATTTTGACCTTCTTTTCTGCTTTGGATCGATTTAGCGTCTTTCTTGGGGTGGACGCTTCGTCTTCGTTGCCCTCGCTTGGTTTGACGACTTCTTCGTCTCCTTCTGCGAGGCGTCCGGCAGCTCGGGTGAGCCAGTACTGTCCTACGCGTTTGGGATCTGCACTGAAGACTTCGTAAAGCTTTGCTGCAGTAGGTGCTGACGCTCCTTTCTCCAGTCTTTGTGCGTATATGGTTTGTAGTACAGCCCATAGCATGCCTTCTAGAGTGTTGACCCGCAAAGTCCACTGTTGCACCGCGCTGCCACCACCAGATCTCCATCTTTGCTTTTCGATCAAGATGATGTCTGGCGAGCCTGCTAGAATCGTGTTCTTGATCAAGCCATACGCTGTCTTGGACAAAGCATCCGCAGAGTACATGTCAGATACTTCTTCAGCACCCTCGGTACGTTGCTTTGTGGTCTTGCCCTTTCGTGGAGATTTCTTTTCGCTCTGTATCTCCTCTCCTGGGGCTTCCGTAAGGTTGATCTTCTCCCATCTCAAAACCTTCATGTCCGCATCCAGGCTATCCTTCGATGGGTAAGACACATCCGCCTCGCAAAACGCCAGGTTCTTGATTCCCATGTCGATGCTCATAATGCGGAGCTTCTTGTTTGCAGCTCCAAATCTTGGCCATGTCCGTTGACTCTTGGAAAAATGAGATATTCCAATATCACGTCGGAACCGTTCCTGTAGTACTGCTTTTGTCCCCGATGATGGTGCGCCGATGTGTACAAGTAGAGTTTGCAGCGCCTTGGCTGTCACGGCGCGAGGTTTGGGTGCCATTGAAGCTATCGGCTTTCTTGTCGGCTTTATAGTAGTCTAGGGTGCAGATTGATCGACGAAAAGAAGTGCTATTGACCTAGCACGAGCGGAGAGAAGCGCCGGAGGCATTGTGAACCGCGGCGCGTTGACAGAACCATGCAAGATGAGCAGTGGTAACTCAATGGATTGTGGTCATCCTGTCAAACCCCGGCTTTGGTGTGCGAAGACGTGTTGGTGGATAAAGTTTTTGGGGTTGAGAGTTGACGAAAAGTCAAGGTAAACACGTCCCGACTTAGCGTGAAGCACGCACGTGATGCGGTCATTGACATCACAACCCTCGAGTTCAAATAGATAGTTCATGTCAAAATATGAAATCTCAGACGTACTTAGCTAATGTATCGTTATCATATTCTTTGCACGCATGCTATTAACACTGCATTAATCTCCATCCCAAGGCCTCTTCACGTCTCTTCACGTCCATAGTCCAAAGCGAAATTGGAAGTCACCAAATACTTCGTTCCCTCGACTACCCTTCACAAATAAGATCGAAATCCGGAAAATCAGGATCAGGACCAATGTTCGTACTCGCAACCGCACTATTGAAGTCCTTGACCTGTGCGTTCTTCTGCGCATCGTTGCACTTGTCTATCAAGTCTGTTAGCGATCCGTCCCAATCTGTAGAAAGTAAGGAAAGAAGGAAGACTTACTCTTCTGCTCATCACAGTCATTAACACTCAACCCCCCATCCTGCCTCTTCTTCCCCTTCTTCCCCCTACCTCCACCACCTCCATTACTATTCGCAGTGTTACTGCAACCTTGAAACTGATTATCGCAACTTCTCTGCGCCGCAGAATCAAAACTGGTAAATGTGTCCCCATCGACCTGGAATGGTCGTTCTTTGTCGCCTGAATTTGTAATGGGTGATGCACGCGTTCCGCCGAGGTTGCCGTCAAAGGTCTGCAGATCGGATACTTGTCGTAGGAAGAGGGTGTGGCGAGGGACTAGTGACATCTCCCAATCTGAGGAGACTAGGGCTGGTTGTGGGGAGGCGTGGGATAGAGCGGGGAGGGCGAGGTGGATTAGAGCTAGGAGGGCTGTGGGAAGGAACATGGCTGTGTAGGGACGACGTGTCGACAGAGACGTTTGTCAGTGTTGGACAGTGCCGGGCGTGAATCGATGCCGGTATGGAATGTTTTTGCCGGGCGTGGAAGGTGTCGGTATGGAGAGATGTGTCGTGCGTGAAAGCTCTTGCCGGGCGTGAAAGATGCCGGTATGGTAATATTTTGCCGGGCGTGAAAGATGCCGGTGTAGTAAGATCTGACGGGCGTGAATCGTTGCCGGTGCTGAATATATGCCGTGCGTGAAAGACGAAAAGTGCCGTGCGTGAATCAACCTCGTGCGTAAAACCTCAATACCACAATCGCCAATATCCTCCGAACGTATGCAGGCACAGCCTTTGGAAATAATCGACTCAATCGCACCAAACGAATGTAAATATCGCAATCTCTCCAGAGAGTAAAAGACGCAAATCCCCGTTCCAAACACCCACCCGGGGCCAACCGCATCTAAGTATAACCTATTGCCCCCAACGCCAAACGCCTCCACATGGCGTGGAAGCGCCGAACATGCATTATCTCACGCCAAACGAGTTTGGGGCCCAGCGGTCACAAAGCTTGTTTGGGCAAGTCGACACGTTGGTTGCTTGCGACGGTGCTGAAACACGATCCTTGACTCGACCCCTTGCAACGCATAAACATGTGCACGCTGCACACGTAAGAAGGACGAGGCGGGCAGAAGAACGGCCTTGTTCGAGTGTGAGGGAGAAAAGGAGAGCATGAAGATGGTGATGTAATAGAAAGATTCGGAGAGTAAACACTTCTTGGCTATGTTGATTTCGATATTTCGCGCTATGGATTGGGGTATGACTATGCTAAAACAAACAAGAAAGACAATGACGCTCTATTACAACTGACGTAAAACAGGTGTAACGATGCAAAGCGCAACGTACACAGACAGGATGATGGGAGTGAGCGGACGAAAGTGGTTGTTGTGGTGCCTCTTCTTCAACGTGATGGTATACGTCTAAATCTACATTGTGCGCAGTCCTTGTGGGACTGACTGACCACGATGGTGACGGTATACACGAATCTAACATCGCGGAATCAGCGCCTGGAATGCAAACTCACAGAGAGGCCATTCGTGCATTATAGCCGCGATTGCAAATATATACATCCTCCGCCGTGCTGTCGTCTCTCAAAATCGCTTCTAGCTCAGACAAATTCCGCAGATAGTCGTTGGTATCGTAATGGGCCCTTATAAGCCTATGTACTTTGGTCGGGCTGCGCTTCGCCTAGAAGTTGGCAGCTGCGTTGGGGCGTCCTCCTGGGTTGTGGTACTGCTCCAGGTTCGACTGGAAGGGCGATGAGCCGGTGCCGTTCTGGGGCTTGTCACCGAGGGCTGAGCCAGTGCCGGCCATGAGGTCGTCGTCGTCTTCGTGGACGCGTGCTTGGCGCTTCTTCATGCGCCAGAAGACGAGGGCGATGCCACCGAGGAGTAGGGCTCCACCAACGCCACCAACTACACCACCAATGACCTTCTTGTTGGAGTCACTGATGCCACCGCCGTTGTCGCTGTCACCTGCTTGTGCGGTGGGCGGGTCGGTGACGACGGCTTCACCGGTGGAGGAGACGGAAGTGCTGGTGCCTGTCGAGGTCGCTTTGGTTACTCTGCCATCGCTCAGGGTTGTGTCGAGAGTCGTGGTATACTCGAACACCGAGGTGGAGAAGAGAGCGGAAGTCCTGACAATCGCGGTCGTTCGTACGGAAGAGCTGCCATCTTCGGTGGCCGTTGGTGAGTTAGCGGCGCCGCCACCTCCACCAGTGCGACTCGTGCCCGCCGCGGTTGTTGAAGCGTCGTTGTTGTTGTTATTGTTGTTGTTGTTGTTGTTGTTGTTGCCGCCATCGGAAGTGGGTGCGGCAGCGGTAGTCGAAGGTGCGGGAGCGTCGGATGTGGGATCGTTGGACGGCGGTGGGTTGTTGGTGGTTGAGGGTTCTGGCTCGGGAGTCGCGGATGTTGCTGGAGGTGCGGCCGACGATGTGGCAGGTGGTGCGGCGGAGGACGCTGGTGGTGCTGCTGAGGATGGCGCGGGCGTGGCGGATGGTGATGAGCCGCCAGTGCCTTCGGCGTCTTGCCTCTTGCCCTGATGGAGGTACTGGTTGATGCCGTCCATGTGTAGATCCTCGAGGGTAAAGGCCGACGATGCGACGGTCAAGACAAAAACGGAGAGCCAGGCCTTGGGCAACATGGTGGGCGGTGGTTGTTGGTAGCAGGAGGACTGGTAGCGTTTTTACGATGGAGCTGACTGACGCGCGTTTCACGAACAGCCAAGTTATATTAAGGGCGATACAGGTGAATCTCGCCGCCTATGAGCTATGTGGATGGATCAAACGAGTGAACGGGTAGAGACAAGAGAATAGTGTAGCGAATGTTAGCCGGAAGCCAGTGAAGGTGCCGAGTTGATGGACCAGGTGATCGAGAGGAGAAAGGTTAGCCCCGGCTTCACTCTTCCAAGGCTTCGACACATGGTCACGTGATAGCTAATTTTACACATCAGCCGCCCGGGGCAGTCCAGACCCATCCACAGGGGCTCACCAGCACTGGCCATACAAAACGGTGGTCAGTCACAGTCATTGACTCAATCTTGCTTCGAAGGTTTTGCATAATCAACCATGAGTTGACGTTGCACAGTGAGTATCTATAGTATGTTGCGTGCACCTAGATAACGAAGGCTGTCTGTCCTCGTTACGTATCTGGCCATCGTATACAGTATCACGGTACTTCAACGCGCCCCCAAACGCGCTGCATCAGTTGTTGAAGTACAGACGTTTTTTTTTATAGAAAGCGCCCGGGACCTTTCACTGCCCTGCATATGCGCCCCAAAGGCTTGACAGCTCGAACAAAAATTCTGTCCCTCAACAGAAACACCAGGGAGATTTGCACACAGATGACCCGAGAGACTAGTAGTCTTTTACCACCCTACTAGCCAACCTCTGCTTTTTTAGTCCGACATCCCGCTGCATTGCTCGACGCGCATCGTACCTTAGCAAAACCTCCTTTCCCATTCGTCCAACCCGCCAATCTTTACAACTTTTGCTGCTTCTAAATTCGTTTCTGCAGCGGCCCCATTTCGCGGCCCCCTCGGCTGGACAGGCTAGTTTCGGCATTCTCTCCGTCTTGGACGTGCGTCATCAAGCCCTGCGATTTCTTTGCATGCCCTTGTACGGAGTACCAGAAGCAAGAAATCATTATTACCTGTAGCCGCACGCGCTGTGTGGGCTACACCCTTACCCGTCAACCCCCGTTGTCATCACGCATTGCGCAACGCAACCATGCTCGCAGCTGTCATGTCGCACAGCGTGTCGCTGACAACTCACGAGGCGCTTTCCGGTGTCTTCGGCTCAATCTCGCTGGCTTCGTGGATCTTTCTGTTGGTGAGTAAACAACTTGATACGACGACGTTGTTGTTCTTCATTTCCTATGCTTTCGCGGACGTACAGGGACCTTGACACGTCGTCCTGCAATGTTCATGTATCTCTGATACCACCTGCGCTATTCATAGAACCGCGACTGGAGCTGCAGCACGCGACATCACCTGGGCATACATCACCAAATCGCACCCTAACACACCGCGCAGGTCCCGCAACTCATCGAAAACTACAAGTCATCCTCCGCTGATGGCATCTCCCTCGCCTTCCTCGTCGTCTGGTTCGTCGGCGATATAACGAACCTTGCTGGCGCCCTCTGGGCCGGCCTCGTCCCCACCGTCATCGCCCTCGCAATCTACTTCTGCTTCGCCGACCTCGTCCTCATCTCGCAATGCGTCTACTACAACATGAAGAACTCGCGCCGCGGCGAGCGCAAAACCTCCGTGCAGTCTACAAACAGCGTTGAGGCGCCCCTGCTGGGCAGACGCGATAGCAGCAACTTCGGTCTGCCGGGAAGCCACAGGCGCGATTCTGCGGCTAGTCGCAGGCGGCGCGCGAGTTCGTTGCCCACGATTCCGGATGTGGGCGATGGCGCGAGCGAGTGGGTTAAGAATGCGCTGAGCATCGTGGGTGTCTGTGTCGTTGGTGCTGCAGGTTGGGCTATCGCGTGGAAGACTGGTGTGTGGGTTCCGCAGCCTCAGCACAATACGGAGGACACCACGGATAACCCTGTTGGTGCCATGATCTTGGGATACGCAAGTGCGGTGGCTTATCTTGGAGCGCGTATTCCTCAGATCATCAAGAACCAGAGGGAGAAGTCTTGCGAGGGCTTGTCGCTGCTGTTCTTCATGTTGAGTCTTTTGGGCAATGCTACATATGGTGCAGGGGTAAGTTACATCTACACTTTGCTGGAAATTAACGGCGACTGACATCTCACAGATCATTTTCCACTCGCAGGAGAAGGAGTACATACTCACCAACCTCCCCTGGCTCATCGGCTCCCTCGGCACAATGGTCGAAGACATAACCATCTTCATCCAATTCCGCGTGTTCGGCAACGGCGAGGCATCTTCTGCCCTCGAGGCGTGATGCGCTCAGCTGTGTTTATAAAAATCATCTGTGTTGGTTACGTCTGGCGTTTTGATATCTACCGCAGAGCGACGGTATGATCTACTCGAAAAGTTTGTGTGTATGTATTTGTATTACTGGTCTACGATACCCAGTCGAAAAAAGATAAACGTATGTTTAGGCGCCGGCGGCGAGGTAATGTTGTATTATGAGAATAGATTTGGCATATCAATCTTGAAACTTGACATCAAGCTGCCCGAGTGCGCACCCACCCTGTTCGTGGTCCTCGAAAGCGACTCGTATCTATGAAGCACTTGGAAATACACTTCGTCTACTTACGATCAGTCTACAACTCATTCGCGCAAGACGCGCAAGACGCGCAGTTCGTTATGACTCCAAGAATCGCAGAAAGTATCCACGCGGCCAAATCGCAAGCGCCATGTCCCCATCTAAGTCCGATCGTCCCATCAGCCCTGTCGGCCAAATGTACAGGAACGAGTACGCGCGTGCAGTCGATCTCTGGAAATCTGGCAGTCACGAGGAAGCCTACATCATCTGTCGAGATCTTCTTGTTGATCCAGCTGTGGGCAAGTGGCACCAAGCCGGCTTCCATCTTTTCCTCGGCAACTCAGAGGACTGTAAGTACACACCTGCACCTTGGTTACACTTTGTTCTAACTTGATTCAAGGTTACGTTGAACATACGCAGCGCGCGCGGGATCTTTACGATGAGATGCCCAAGGAAACTCTTCGAATAGACCCGAACAAGGATGTCGCAGGACTCACTCAATACCTGGAGATGGCCGAAGTAATGCTGGCGCAGCCTCTATTGAAACTTATGGCTCGATAGAAAGAGTTGCATGCATGACAGAAGTAATGATAAACCACATGTTTGGCGTCGACTGGTTCCACACCGTGAGACATAGCTACTTCTTCGGAACGTCAACATATGCATCGTGCTCTAAGATCATCAATTTCACGCAACATGGTGCATTAGTGTGCTAAAGACCGAACCCTTTGACAGATTTCCCGTGGGGTATATCTCCCCTTAAGCAGTCTATAAGCGCCATAAGAGACCTGAGAATGAGATCCGTAGTTTCTACCGTACCAGCCTTGCCTACTCATACCGAAAGAATCATTTACTTAGCATGAGCGTATTTCTGCTCGTGAACGCCAATGGCACTACATCGTGTTAGTTCCTTGTCTTGATCGTGCCTCAAAAGATCAGACTTACCGTCCAGAAGGATCCGTCTGGTTGCTCCAAGTGGGCGTCCATCGCATGACGGTGTCGGCACAGTAGCTGGGGAAGTGTTCGTCAAACATGCACCTGTACCAGTACGCCTCCTTGGTGTCTGGGATATCGTTACCCCACTCCGGTTTCGGGTTCTTCATCATCTCATCGGTGACGTGTAGCTCAGCGGTGTCCTTGAGCGCGTCAATCCATCCGTAGCCTACACCGTCAGAGAACTGCTCCTTCTGTCTCCAGAGGATCTTCTCAGGGAGGTAGGGCTGGGTCTCTGGTTCGTCGGTGGTATCGAATGCCTTGCGCAGAATGTACTTCTCGATGCGGCCGGCTTCACGGTCGATGAGCTTGTCTGCGGGATCGATGTTCATGGCTGTGTTGAGGAAGTCCTTGTCCAGGAAAGGAACACGCGCCTCGACACCCCATGCGGATGTTGACTTGTTGGCGCGAAGGCAGTCGGCAAGATGGAGGTTCTTGACACGGCGAATACATTCTTGGTGGAAAGCGGCCTTGTCGGGCGCGTTGTGGAAGTAGAGGTATCCACCAAAGATCTCGTCGCTTCCTTCTCCTGAGAGCACCATCTTGACTCCCATAGCCTTAATCTTTCTGCTCAGCAAGAACATGGGTGTTGAGGCGCGGATAGTTGTTACGTCGAAGGTCTCAAGGTGGAAGATGACATCTGTGAGTGCGTTGAGGCCGTCTTCGATGGTGAAGGTGAAAGTGTGGTGCTTGGTTCCAAGGAAGTTGGCTACCTCCTGCGCAGCGATGGCATCGGGTGCGTTGGGCAGACCGATTGAGAAGGAGTTGAGCTGTCCCAGAAGAAGATCTGTCTGAAGCTCGTTGGAGTCGTCGATACCAACAAGTTGGTTCTGTTGCTCGCTGGCGTTGCCAGAAGACGCCGCAGCCTTCTTCCTTGTGAGCTCGTTCAAGCGCAGGGTTTCCCGTTGCGCAATTGAAGCGACCAAACTCGAGTCAAGACCACCAGAGAGAAGTACACCAAAGGGAACTTCCGCCATCATGCGTTTCCGCACTGATCGCTCAAACGACGCCCTCAATTCCTTGTAGTTTACGGGTTGTGTGGGGATGTTCTCGGGCTCGACCAGCCACTTGGGGTCGTAGTATCGCGTGAGCGAATCCGTCTTCGAGTCGTAGACGTGCCCAGGAGGGAAGGAGATGATGTTGTCGCAGACGGGATGTAAGCACTTCAGCTCGGAAGCGAAGAAAACCGCGCCTGGTGCTGTGCTCGATCGGCCCATGTAGAAGGTGGTGATACCGATCGGGTCGCGTGCTGCGATGACACGATCTTGAGCCTTGTCGTGAAGGACCCAAGAGAACATGCCGTCGAGTTTCCGGGGAGCATCGATGTCATGTTCGAGATACTGCCATGCGTCAGCCTCTATCCCATACAAGAAGTGTGCCCAATATTACCAGAGGAATGATAACCTCGCAATCTGAGTGTGTTTTGAAGTTGTACGGGTTCTTGAGGGACTTGCGGAGGATTCGGTGGTTGTAGATCTCGCCGTTGACGGCCAGGGAAACGGTTCCCTCATCGTTGACGAGTGGCTGAGCGCCAGATTCTGACCCGTGTAAGCTTCCGCCAAAAGTAATATTCGGCCTGTGATCTCTTACCGACGCCGACAATGCTCAAGCGCTCGTGAACCAGGACTGTCTGTCTTTAGTACCATGTGTGATTGAGTGCTCTGAGAGTCACTCACTGGTGTTGTTCGCAACGTGGTTACCCGCTGTAAAGTGTCAGTCATTGCGATTGTTGGCGCATAAGAGTCACAAAGAATGCTTACACCAATCTGGACCTCGATGGCTTATCTATCAGTCAGCACAGAGGTTCTCGTGATGTAGTCGCTGAATGGAGGGGTTTCGAGGAATCACGCACCGAACGGCCTTTCCCATCTACAGTTTGTTAGAATGTGCTCCTATGGAGTCGATACAGTCAGAACTTACCTTCAGGGCCGTAGGCTTGAAGGTCTGCACATCAGGATGCCTTTTTGGAGAAGTTGTTAGCCGCGTATCAACATGGGCGCAAATCATCTGGTGTAGAGCTAATTCGGTAGATGCGCGCGCGCAATGGTCGAAACTTACTTATGACACGCGAATATCCCACACATACTGGGCGAAGGTGAATTGGATGAAGGAAGATAGAGTCGGCTTCAAGCGCAAGAGGAAGGGTAAGCTGCTATCTTAGAGTCACAAAATCCTAGCGAGGTCGGCCTGCCCCACTAAAGTCATTTCCATGACCGAAGACCGCCGCGGCAAGATAAGTTCGGGGTTGGCAGCTGGGAGTATCCACAATCTGCAAGGATGCAGTCTGACGTCGAAGAAACTTGTGGAGTGTTGACTGTTCTTGCACCTCGCTTTCGTTTCGCGTACGCGGAGATGCTCGAACGCCTGGGGGATTCGCACATTCAGAACATCGCCGTAATCGGCCATTCACCACGCGGCACTGTCAAGATGCAACCCCATACAAGTATACGTAGACATTATTTTTGTTAAACAATTTCGCAACTTTGCAACTCCGAATTATGTAGCTGTTGATACATGGACGCTTGCACACAAATGTGGTCATGCCTCCCTAGCAGCTGCCACTTCGTATGTGTAACCAACAAACAGCCCCAGTTCATCCAAGCAAGAGATACCCACATGAAAGAGAAAAGCACCTGTCCATCCGGTCGTCCTGCGCCCTACTACGACCCTATCCCTTCGTCCCCATGTGTTGAAAGATGTCGCCCAACCTCCCGCCGTCTCTGCACAATGTAGATCCGGGGTCGCGGTTGGCGCACGGTGCTCCACTGGCTGTCGTGGGCCAGGTATTGTGGGAGGACGCTCAGAAGAGGAAGTAAGCAATCAGGAAGCTGATAAGGCATAGAAGGGCGGTGATCTGAACAGACACGCCGCCAGCGGGGGCTTGCCGTGTGTCCATGGAGGTCGAAACTCCTTGCTTCGAGTCCTGGGCGGATCCTGTCTTTCGCTGGCGGAGACCAGTGGCTTCGCTAACCTGCTGTGTCAATCGCGCAATCTGGGCCTTGGCTTCGGCAAGCTGGGCCTCCACGTCGCTTGAAGATGGCATGGCGCTAGCGATAGTTCCAGCAGCGGAGCTGAAGCTCGACCCCATGTTACCACTCGATGCGGGGTTGTAGGTCTCGTTCCTGATCTCGCCCAAGTCTTTGCTTCCTGATGGGCGCTCCGAGGGAACGGAGACAGGTCCAGAAGCGTCCGATACGCCGCGCTGAGGAGTCACAGCTTCGGGTGACGGAGAGGAAAGCATCGAATCGCGGCTAACGCCGTTGGTTCTCGCAGGAGTTGCGCTGGAGGCATCGTCGGGTGCGAGGAAGAGGACTCTGATCTTCTTCTCTTGGATAGAAGACTTGGCGGTCTGCTCGATGTGCGACCACTACAAGCACCTATTAGCACGCATCCAATCCTAATATCCCAATATTATGACATACCAAAGACCCGACGTTGGTGAACTCCTTGTCAGCGGTGACGAGGACAGATTGCACGAGAAACTTGTCGCGGCACTTCGCATCTGGCGGTGGGTCTTCCTTCATGGCTTGGAGGAGAACTGGGCGCATGCGTTAGTTTGCTGTAGACTTCCGTGGGGCGCATAGAGGGCATGCATACTCTGAACTTCGACATCTTTCCCAGGCTCGATACGTCCGCTGTTCGGCCTCACACAGTATCTAAACCCGTCATCAGTGGTTGTGGGGAGAGGTATCGCGGGCGTCGTACTGCTTGGGAGCCGTCGTTTTCACCTTCTATATGTCAGCTGCGTGTCCAAATTCCACATGACCTCACAGAAGTCCACGGGGTAGTGCGCTTACCTTGAAAGCAATGGGGTCAGAGTGCGGGTTCTTCAAGCGGAGGGTCTGCGACACCTCGTGCTGGAAGGGTCCTAGCCATCTCAGTATGTTTGTCGGCTCAATGCCACGAACGAAGCTTACGCTTGAAACCAAGCTCTACGGGGTCGAGCTCGACAGACATGGCGGGCGCGTGTGGGTTGCGGGTATGGGGTGGTGGTCGTGTCTTCCAGGGTTGGTAATCGGATCCGCGGTTACGGGGTACCTAGGCAGGGTTGCGACGAACCTCGGGAACCAGGGGAGGAGAGACGGGCGCGTATAATGTATTGAGAAGCTGAGTAATCTGGAGATGGGGTGCGCAAACGGTGTGGGTATCGCAGCGGGTGTGGATTGGGGTGGGTGTGGATAGTAGGGAGAGGAAGGCAGATGGTAAGGACAAGTTGCTATGACGTGCAGCGACGCCTCTTGATTCTCGATCGCGAGCTGCCTCTAGTGCCCACCCACGTAGACACTCCCAAGGCGATGACAACCATCACTCCTCTCGCTGAAATAGGCTGCAGTGACAGACGTATTCCACAAACATATTCATAGTGAAGATCACTGTACCAAGACAACATCCCAAGGATCTCACGCGCCTCATCCACGGTCCACCTTCTCTGTGGTTCCACCGCTACCGCCTTACACCCACATCCCACGTATAAAGCTAGACTCCTCCACTACACTCACTTCTCACTTTAATTCGCTACTAAACTACAACCTGCGCTATCCAAACGCCCAGGAAATCATCACCAGATCAACCACAACTTCCCACATACACGACCGTCACCACCGCCACATTCACCATGGCCGGAGATCTAGATACCCTCATCGACATGGGCTTTCCCCGCGAACGCGCAGAGCTTGCCGTCAAAGCCACCGGCGGTCTCCAGTCTGCCATCGATTGGCTCGAGACCAACCAGGACAAGTCCGTCGACGAGATCAAGCAAGAGCAAGCCACCGCTGCCGCCAACGCCTCAGACGAGCCACCCGCCCTCCAGCCAGGCGAGGAAGCCAAATCCCTCGTCTGCGATGAGTGTGGCAAGAGATTCCGCTCCGTCAACCAAGCCCAGTTCCACGGCGAGAAGACCGGCCACGAGCAGTTCTCAGAATCCACCGAGGAGATCGCGCCCCTCACAGAGGAACAAAAGGCCCAGCGCCTCCAAGAACTACGCGAGAAGCTCGCCGCCAAGCGCGCCACGCAGTCCGAACAAGATAAAGAAGACCACAAGAGGAACGAGCAGATCCGCATGAAGGCCACAAAGGAGTCGCAAGATCTCCGCGAAGAGCTACAAAAGAAGGAGCGCTTAAAGGAAGCCGCCGCCAAGCGCGCTGAGAAGAAGGCAGACGAAGACGCAAGGAAACGCGTCCTAGCCAAGCTCGAAGCCGACAAGCAGGAGCGCAAGCGTAAAGCTGAGATTGAAAAGGCGAAGCGCGCTGGTCAAGCTCCTCCTCCTGCTCCCGTACAGGCGCCCCTCGCCACGTCCTCTGGTCCTACTACCAGCAAGCCTGCGAGCGCGTACACCGAGGCGCGTCTGGCGCTGCAGACACCCAGTGGAAGGGTCATGAAGAACTTCCCGGTTGAGACTACGCTGTTCGAGGTTGCGCATGCGCTGGAGCAGGATGGCATGACTGTGTCGACTTTCACGACCAACTTCCCCAAGAAGATATACGACCGGAGCGACTTTGGTATGACGCTCAAGGAAGCGGGTATGGTGCCCAGCGCGGCTTTGATTGTCGGCTAGAAGTCGAGGCTTTTGAGGACGTATTATGTAGATGCTTCTGAGGGTGCATAGGGTGGCGTTGAGGTGGTGCAGGTGGTAGATACCCACAGAGGGATGCATATGGTAGCGTTGATGTATGTCGGCGACAGTAAGCCAGACCGTAGACGAAGTCACGATGAATGAACCATGAGATACAAAGAACTACAGATGTTAACATGTTGATTTATCCCAACGCCTACTAATGCTCAACCCCTTCTCATGAACACATCACCTCAATCATACTCATCAATATCATACCTCCCCGCCTCCCTCTGTGTACTGCACCACTCTTCACTTGCCAACCCGCCCTCCTTCCTCCTCACCAACGCCTCCGCATCTTTACACCAATCACACGCAAAGTCACACTCTGGCGTCTCCTCATCCGCAAAATATTTAGCAATGAGCCTATGCCGACATTTACTCGTGGTCTCACAGTAACCGACCAGTGCCTCTAAACTCTTCGCTCGATGCGTCATCTGCTGCTGCTGAGCCTGTAATCCCGCTCCTGCTTTAGGCTGACGAGCAATATCCCTCGATAGTGAATGCGCAGCACGATCGCGATCTTCGCGGCCGTAGTATAAGATGCAAATCGATGCTTTGCCATCTCGGCCTGCGCGACCGGCTTCTTGGTAGAACCCTTCGAAGGATTTGGGGATCTGCCAGTGCACTACGAAACGGACGTTTTCTTTGTCGATGCCCATGCCGAAGGCTGTTGTTGCGACTACGACATCGTACCCGGCTTTGTTGGCTACCCAGCCTGAGAGCGCGTCTGCGCGGTCTGAGACGGAGAGGCCGGCGTGGTAAGGTTTTGCGCCTATGCCGTCTGAGCGGAGGCGTGCGGCGAGGGACTCACAGTCTTTGCGGAATAGCGTGTAGATGATACCTGGGACGTTGTCTGAGCGCTGGTTCTGGGATGCTAGTTGGGAGGCGCGCTCAGGGTTTGCGGCACGCCGGGCGTGGATTGATTTAAGAAACTTGATGAAGTCGTCGTAGTGATCTTCTGCGTCAGATTTAAAGCGGACTTCGTAGTGGAGGTTTGGTCTGCTGGTGCTCATGCGGAACATCTTCAGCTTCTTCGGGTCCAAGGCGAGCGTGGTGATGATGTCGTCTCTTACACGCGCTGTTGCAGTGGCTGTCAGACATATGATCGGTACGTCAGGAAACTCCTTCTTGAAGAATGACAGTTGCTGGAACGAAGGGCGGAAGTCGTGTCCCCATTCGCTGACACAATGGGCTTCATCGACAGCGATGCGAGCCAGTTCTCCTTGAGAGTGGATGACTCGAAGGATCTTGCGGAAGTTGTCGCCCTGACAGAATTCTGGTGTTACGTAGAGCAGGCGAGTCAGGGGGTGACCACATTGGAGGTCAGCTATGATCCTCTTTTTGTCTACCTGTGGTGTGGTGCTGTTGATCGTCTCGACTCTGATGTTGGCATTGCGTAGAGAGGCGACTTGGTTGTTCTAGTGACTAATGAGCATTGATTATGGAGATGAGATAGCATGGGGACGTACCATCAGTGCCAGCAAGGGAGATATCACAATAGTGACTAGCAAGATTAGCGGCGATGGCGGCTCTATGTTGATTTGAACATACTGCCAAAGTCGACCACTGCCGGGAGCTGATAGCATAAACTCTTTCCAAAAGAGGTCGCTGCTTGTAGGAAGACATCTTCACCCTCCAGCGTAGCTGTGACGACCTCACGCTGTAATGGGCTGCGGAGGACATCAGTGAATGCAACGAATAATGGGCAGAATGGTATACCGAAAGCTTGCCTTCTTGAACACCTTCCTTAGCGTAAAATCAAGATTCGAATACGGTCGTTTCCTTTTGGCAGGCATGACTCGCGATGTGAAGAAGAGAGAAACACACAGCTGGCAGGGTCGAAGGATTGGATCCAGACTTTTCACCGCCCGTGTGGTCGTAACAGTGGCTTTAGTGGAAGGCGAAGGCCCATGTTGATTCGGCCGGATCAGAGTATAAGGAACCTAGGAAGTCGGGCTAAGTCCATGGCTTGCAAGATCGACGCGAGGTCGCGCACGTGGTCAATCGCGCTAGCACGTGAGGCCCCACCTGGGCACAGAAAGATTCCATTGATTCCAGCGACTACCTCCTCCACCAATTGTCGACTGTAGAACCTACTGCTGCGAATGCCCAAGTAGCCGTTTCGCAAAATGGCTAAGATGCCTGCATAAATCGCCTACCACGGGCTTGTCGCAAACACCCGTCTTCACGTCTCAATGCTCGAACCAGCACCACCATGACGGATCCAAACTCTCCAGCGCAACCTCCACCTGGCTTCACAATCAAAGACTTCTCCACTTTCCCACCGAAAACTCGTCTCTTCATCGCCGACAAAGTAGCCAAACTCGAAAGAAAAGTCTTCCCAGCAATCGAGCATTTCAACTACGACGTAGAACTCAAGAAAAAGAACACGGGACTCCTCTTGATCTTCAAGGCAGATGATGCGGACAAGCTAATCGGATACCTCGTCTACCAGCGAATGAAGAGATTGGCTTGGCTACATAAACTCTGTGTCATTGAGCAGGAAAGAGGGAGAGGGCTTGGTAGAGCTCTGATACATTGCTTTCGTCATCAAATGGAGAAGGGGGGCTGTAGTACGGTCTTTTTGTGGGTGGATGAGAGTCGTGCTCCTGCTAGAGCGCTGTATACGTCGTGTGGATTTCAGCAGGCGGAATGCCGACCTGATTACTATGGGCCGGGACGAACGGCCTTGAAGCTTGAGCTATCACTCCAAGAAACCTGAATGTGGAGTAGAAGAAACTGTCTCTAGTTCAGTTAGTAGCGAACGTAGACACCGTTAACGAGATGAAATGGATGATCAAGTGTTTCTTTAAGAACAGGACATCAATGTCCTTTCACTCATTCCGTCATTTTCTCATCTAAAATTCCAGAAAAAGCTATGTAGCAACGTTATCTATCCCAGGCTGTCGAAGCCCCTACTCCATACGCCATACCATGCAATAGTCGTTCTGTCGCCGGCTCCTACAACTGAATGTCGTTGTTCAGCAACCGTACTTCCTCACCAGGCTTGAACGCTGGTAGACCAATATACGGGCATCCGTCACATCTGAACGCATCGCCCAGTGCGCAGTTTCCGCAGCTGCCAACCTTTCCTTGTACTGTAAAGTCTACCTCGTCAAGGTCGTCGGCATCCAACTTGAGCGAGTTCAATGCTTTATCGGCGGAAGTACGTTTGGCGGCGTCTTCGGCTTCGAGTTTCTCCTTCATGCCGCAGGTGCAGTCTTTACATGCGCGTCGTCGCTTGCCGGGCTTAGGTTGGCACTCGAGTGCTGAAATCATGTTAGCAGGGTCCCTTATGGTAGTAAGAGGACTTGACGTACGTTGGAGAACTGGACGAGCCATGTCTGCCTCTGTAATGAGGTCGTCTTCGTCAATTAGGTCATCATCTTCTCCTGTGATGATCGGGTCGTCAAGATCATCGCTGAAATCGACGAAGCCCACACCTGCTGCTGGCTTGACGGGCTCAGGCTGGTTGCGCTTGCGAAGGTTGAGCGGGACTGAACCATCCGAGTTGACAGTGCCATTTGCGCCATTTGTTCCGTTCGTTCCATTCGCGCCATTTGCCTTCTTGCCGAACTTCAGCGGTATCGACACCGGCTCCTCTTGTTCGGGCTTGGTCATGCCGTCGGCCGTCTCCGTGAGTCCTGCCAGGATAGCCTCTGTCTTCTCTGCGCCTTGGAAGGGGCCTGCCTGGCTCTTAAGAACACCTCCCACTTTCAATGCGCCGACTACTTTGTTCATGACATCCCGTGCCAGCAACTTGTGACTTTCGCGCGTGGTACCGTCGGCGTCGGCGAGGAGGAGAACAACATCGTATGTAGATGCGGGGAGATTGACCAGACCAGCGGCGATACGGTCAAGCATCTGCAGGTCAGTCGAGTTGCGATCGTGGATCTCGTAAACTTGGTCAAGTCGCTCTGGGTGCGCCGCAATCGACGGCGTGCCGATCAGAAGGCATCGCGGGGCCATGGTGGGGTATCGTGGCGCTGTGTGTCGATGGAGGGGTAGATGGGTGTTGCAAAACCAAAGTGTATCGAGGTATGAACTCTGCGAACAGTGTGCAGAAGCGTGAGAGAAGAAAGGCGTGTTTCAACGAAAGGCGCGTCCCGGGAAACTTTTCTGGTCTGCGGCCTCGGAGGCGGAGAAAGCGCTGCTGATGCAATCACTGAGAAATCCGCGGCGATTGGTCATTCCACCCTGGGCTGATTACGAGCTGACCGGAACACGTGATTCCGGATCAAGTGGGAGGGCGGCATATGTGCGAGTGGGTCCAGCGCATTAGCGTTCGAGGAACAAACATCTAGAATCTGGGGTAATCACCGTTGCGCTGAAGCCATGGCACGCAGGAGGCTGTTGCAGACGCATCTTGAGGATTATGGTTCCTCAATAGCATCGTTGACCTGCAATTGACTCATAGACCAAGTTTGCGCGTGGCTGTGGTGCTGTGCCTCAATGAATCGTCGCCCACGCGACACCGCCGGGGGATTCAGGTACCAGTGACGTACCCTTCCCCTCGTTGCTTCCTCAAAAGCTCAGGGTCACCGAGATCCGACCGACCACAATGTGTGTCCAGTTACTGTATAGAGGTAGAAGCTATGAGCACAATTGCAGTAGCCGAAGCTGGGCAGCTGAGGACGAATCTTCTAGAGGCGCGTCGTTCCAGGGCCCCATCTTGGTTGCGATATAAAGGCAGGAGCTCCTCCCAGCTTCCCCGCCTTCCAACGCCAGTCGCGTGAGATGCATTGCGCCTTCCTTTATCAAACCAGCCACCATCGTCTCTGCTAACCTCGTCTTCACTAACACATTGCTGCCACTTGTCCACAGATCTGCAAGGTACGCATCTGGCCGCGTTGCTTCACGCAAGACGACGCCATCGGGTCAAAGCTCCCATCACGAGACCATGTACTGACCCGCTTGAGCTTCTTACAGTCACAGTAGCTCCGAGCCCGCCGTTGCAGGATACTTCAATCCATTCTGACTTTCTTCCATCACATCACAAACAACCTCTAGTCAATCCATCGACTCAAGACATCAAACAGTAAGTGCTGCCTTTCATCTTGTCTACCGACGCTCTTGCCTTCTTTGCATTGAGTCACTGAGGTTGATATGACCTCAATGGCTCCTCGGCGTAAGACGGCAGGAGGCTCTGGAGCAACCCAAGCTTGTTCGTACATCGTACTGACATCTGAAGTGACTCGCTCTCACAAGTTCACTGATCGCGACCACGCCGGCATTGCTGATGGCACTGCCGAGCGTGAGACGCGACTTCCCAAATACTTCGCTAAGTCCGGCCATGCCGACACGGACCCGACCAAGACAAAGAAGGGTGGCAGCGGCAAGGGCAATTGGTGAGTGTCATCTGCCTGCTTCCTTCCAAGCCACTCGAGAGACTGTCGCAGCTCCGAGACAGTTCTATCTTCATGAGTGGTTGTACCATAGAACCCATGACTGACAACACCGTCTTAGGGGCGCCGCTGGTGACGAGGTCGAAGATATCAGACCCAATATGGCCTACGCCCGCCGTCGAAGCAATTCGTCCACCCACAACATGAAGGACTTCAAGACCAAGTTCGAGACCATCGAGACCGAGCCCGTCTTCGAAGAAGAGATTCACGGCCCTCTTGGTGAAGAGCTCGAGAAGCAGAGCACCACTTCGACGGAGAACAGCATCGCTGAGGAGGAACACGACAAGAAGATGTAAAGGCTGAGTGTGGAGCCTACGGATAGTGGCGTGGCTGCGTGTCGACTGGCTAGTCGGCATGTGGGAAGCCATCGCTTGCCGCGAACAATTTGACAGGGCAGATATCGTCGTCTTTTCAGACTGATATGCTCACACATGTACCATGTTTCTCTGGGAGGTATTACGTTCTCTAGTACGGCCATGCAAGTTCACACGGGCATGCATGGTCGGAAGTTGACCACAATGGCGTTTTCTGACAACTGTAACGAGTATGATAAATGATAAACGAAACACAAACACAACGCACTTGACTCTTTTGCTTGATGTGACTCGAGGAAGATGGCGCTCTCATCTGAATAGACAATATGGTAGATTGCGAGCAGAATTGTGTGATGATATAGCATACTCAGTGAATGACCAAGCGGTTGCACTGGTTTCCTCGTGTATGTAAGATCTTTTGTTAGTAAAGTACGGGCGTAGTGCAGTGAATTGTTAGATGATGGTGCGTGCCTGGCGACTCACTAGCAGCCCTGGAGCTGGCTCCAAACTCCGGGCGCTAGCGTTGATTGAATCCCTGCCAAAACAGAACAACTCAGCGAGCAACATCATCACCGGCGCGCTCCATCGCGTTTTCAACCGCCATCTCCAAACTCTCGCATCATGTTTTCGCCCGAGGCGTCCATCGCGAGCGCGCGCAGCTCTCTGCGCAACCCCCGACGCAGACCGCGGATGGAATCCGAGAGCCTACGAAGCAGAAAGCGCAGTAAACTCAACGACGCGACCTTCAAGGACCCTGCCGACGCCCACATCAACGGAAACGGAAGTGCCTCGACAAATGGCCACGCTGTGCAGAGTGTCGACCACTCGGTTGTTGTGGTTGACATGCCCTTGAGCATTCGGGAGAAGAAGACGGCACCGAAGCGCGCGCCCAAGGAGGACACGGGCACGTATCTTGTGAGTAGATGCGCATCTACGCGAGATGGCACTGCTAATATGAGACTGGAGACCAAGAACGCAAACTACAGTGTCAAGAAACTGCCTGGCTTCCCGTCAGCGCTCCTCCGCCCATCGAGTACGGCCTACACATCGTCACCCACCGCAATGCGCGCCTGCTGACATACATCTCTAGCTCCGATATATGCCACCGCCCTCCCCTCCGCCGGCCTCGCGCTTGCCCTGACTTCAGATCGAGCCCTCGTCTGGGACTACAGCGCCCCGAACGGCCCTTCAAAGGTCGTCTCTCTAAACCTGAACTTCGGCCTCAGACCAACCGAACCTCTACCGCTCGGCGCCATCGTCCGCAACGGCCCCACCAACGACTACGGTATCGTCGCGCTCGCGCCTTCGACAGGCAAGATCAGCTTCTGGGAGAACATCGACAGCGCAGACACTCGGAGCCTATACCCACAGCGCCAGCAAGGGGTGGATGGCTTTGTGAAGCTGTACTCTGGGGAAACCATAACCGGACTAGTCGACGTCGAGCACGCGGGCTACGTCCTGGTATTCAGCAGCGGCAGACTCGCCCAGCTGACCCTACGCGATTCTCAGGGTCGACCAAGCGTTGCGACAACCGTCTTGAGCGCACCAAATGGCTCAGGAGGTAGCTTCTTCAGCTTCAAAGGCCTTCTTGGAGGGTCCATCCGGAAGACCATCGCCTCCGTCAAGGCCCGGACATCGCAATCCAAGGGCCACATGGAAGTCATCTCGGCGACGCGAAACGGCCTCTTTCAGACCTGGGACTTGAGCTGGTCAGGACAGAACAGCCACCAACGAGACGTAGACGTATACGATGCGATCCTATCGGCAGTTCAAACAGACACCGTTCCAGAAGTACGCAACCAGCAGGATGTCCATGTGCTGGATTTTGCCATTATGGAACAACAACAGGGCCAGGATGCCATCAGTCTTCTGGTCTTGGTGGCGCTGTCTGGTCGGGACTCAATGGACTACTTCCTCCTGGAGGTGGATCTGTCGAGGACAGCAGGTACCATTAGCAGGGCGATACCAGTCCGCAACTTTCATCAGCCGCAGCTTACCAAGGAGCCGATCGGAACGCTTCTCCTGCCACAGCCTGGACACACAGCCTACGTCCAGTTCCCAGGAGCAGTCTTCGTCGCATCCCTCGCTCAACCAGAGGAGAGCCCAGAGGCACAACTGCTCGCAGACTCAGGTCGTTCTAGTTTACCCTTCCAGGACACCGTATATTTCCGCCCAGAAGTGACTCTTGCAGGCACTGCCCTGGAGACCGCGATGCGGAAGGACAAGAAGTCGACTGCTCTCGTCTTCGTCCAGCAATTCGGCCTTTTACAGATCAGCGCATTGCCTCCTACCACAGGCGATCAGGATAGAGAGCGCGTGAAAGTGACCGCACGCAGCAAACTCGAGCAGGCCACCTTCTTCAGTACCATTCCCTCCAACATCATAGACTTCTCTGTCAAATCACGCTTTTCGTTCGCAGAGGAGGAGACTGCGGAAGCTGCACTTGCTATCAGTGCCGGCATCTTGAGCTCCTCGTACGACTACTTGGAGAAGGGAGTTTCGAACTTGGACGACCAATTCCAGCAGCGCTCCTTCGCCCTCCGTACCCTGATCACTCAACTACAAACCGATTATCCCCCCATATCTTTCCAGACAAGGTGGCGGCTATTGTGGCATGCCGAGAAGCTCGCGGCTGCACACAAGCTCTGGCTCTGGTACCAAGACAAGCTACAGGACCAACAAGCACACCCGGATACCTACCCAGAGAAGATTTTGATGAGCGACATCATCAGAGCTTTGAATGAGCGCTACAAGAGCGGCCTCGATTCTGAGCTAGGCGAGAACGACACTATTCGACAATTCTTCGTTAAGGACGTTGACAGCCTTCACACGCTGATACCTTGGGGCTGGTTCTACCTGAGGACCTTCTACATGAAAGAGGGACTAAAGCAAACACCGTCCATCATGCAGAGGCTCAGTGAAGGCACCGATGTCATGCTTGTCGCTTTGGAAACAGCTTTCGAGTTCCGCCAAGCAAATGTAGAAGTATACGGTCTCGACCCTGATTGTCTAGACGACAGCATCCTCAAACCGGACTATGGCTACGATATGCTACCTCCGTTCTGGACGTCGTCTCACAACATCGTCAGCTCGATTCGAAGCCTCATCGACGTTGGCCGCAACCTTGCGGTGGACAACTACGAGGAAGGCTACCAAGAACTCCTGGCACAAAAGATCGGCAAGGACAACCCTCGCTTGGTGAAGCTTGGATGTCAGACTCACATTGAACGCTTTGAGTGGGCTCTCGCCCAGAGCGATGAGAAGACACGAGCCATGGGCCGCAGCCTCAAGGATGAATGGAACAACAACGTCCGACCATCACACATCATGGGTTTGATGGAGATTGGACTCCCTACTGAAGGAATGGAACTGGCCGAGCAATACCACGACATGTCGACACTCGTCAATCTGATCTGGGAAGAGTCCAACTGGCTCGAGACGGAAAAGGCGAACACCCGCAGTAAGATGGAGCAAGCGGAAAGCACAGTCAAGCTGAACCGGATAAAAGAGCGCATTGCGCGCTACTTCGAGGTCTACGGTGATGACTGGGCTGGAGCGTTCTACTCAAAGTACATCAACGAAAACCAAGCAGGACAACTCTTCATGAAGGAATATCTCAACCAACCGGCACTCACAAAGTTCCTGCGAGCCGAGCCGTCGCGCGTCAGGCTCGCATGGATCAATGAAGTCTGCGGCGAGAAAGACTACGAAACTGCTGCTGAAGCTCTCTTTGAGGCTGGCTCGAAGCAGGAGACGAACGCGTGGTGCCAGCGCGTTGAGCTCTCCATGGCCAAGCTTGCCTTGCTCTGCAAGAAGGAGGCAAAGCATGGCGACGACCAAGCAGTAGTCGACCCACGCAGGGAGAAGCCCAAGGCGCTGAAGATGCGCGAGGCCATGTACCAGAGCATCGATCAACAGCTCGAGTACACCAAGATCCAAGAGGAGGTTTACGAGCGGTTGCTGCCCATTATTACCGGAGCTCTGGATGAAGACTCTGCTGTTGAACTCCTTATGGCCGAGTTTGGACAAGGTCGTTTGAAGGATCGACCAGCACACCAGACCATCCTCAAAGAGGGATTCGAGGCTCTGGTTCACCACAGGGTTATCGACCCTGCGCTCATGGTTGACATTCTCACACTCATGAATGCAGACGACAGCGAGGAAGGTGTTACTTTGCTTGGGAACGACGAGTTCATCTACGCTTTCAAGGTCTTGACAGTCAACTGGAACAATATCCACCGGACAACTCGCGACGGCCTGCTCAAGCTTTTCTGGAAGCGACTGTGCATCAAGGACAACTGGGCTTTGATCAATAATGAAAAGGAGGTGCCTGATGCCAAAATCCACGATGTGTTGCAAGGCACAGTCATGGCATGGACATTCCGCGCCTTGTCCGCCATGTGCAGTAAGTTGATGTCTAGTACCATATGTTTGTTCACCACTAACAAGTTGCAGTCGGCAATTCTTTCATCCGGACCCTATGGCCTAAGAACCTTCGGGACCTTCTAGGTGCTGGAGGAACGCATGGAGAGCTTTGTGTTCGCTTTGCTGCCGAAGACCTTCGCAACCCGATCATCAAGGACAACCTCTTAGATGACGATATCCTTCGCGAGCAGGTTAGCAAAAACAGGCTCACCGAATGGTTCAAGGCAGCCTGGAACACGGGCAAGACCATGTACGCCCGCGAGCTGGCACTGCAGGGCAAGGTTCCTCCTCAGTCTATGCCAGCAGCCCCTCAAATGGCCGAGGAAGAAGTAGAGGACGAGGCGGAGCAGGACGCTGCTGGGTCGGAGACGTTTGACGGAGACGACGAGAGCGCACAGCAGGAAGACGTGGTGATGCAGGATTCATGAGAAGTCGTGACCGTATTCGGGGTTTCATCGGGCGCAGTGCATTCAGGACAGGCGCGTATCAAGCATTGGGCACGGCGTTTGAAACGTGTACTCTGCAGACGCGGACAGCGTTCATTTTCTTTTTTGTCATCAAGTGTATTTCTAGCGATGGTTTTGCAGACGACAGGCGTCCTATCTCGTCCCATGTCAGTACCTGACTAGAGACGAGAAAGAGGATGATTAGAGTTGGAACCCAATGTATAAGAGTGACTATCTGGGTAATGCATGAAGATTTAGGGGAGAGCCATGAATAGTGACATGCATAACCGCCTATCGGCAAGGGTCTCGACTCTGTTCTGTGGAGTCAAGCGACGACAAGCGTTCATTTGCGCGGTGGGTACCCAGCCGTGTCAGGGAACCGAGTGTGGCGCGAGCGAGAGGGCGCGGAAGCCGACGCGCACCAATGACCTGACTCGGCAACAGCCGTTGGGTGACTTGAGGCCGGGTTGTGAAAAAGTGGTGCTGCGCGTTGAGATGAGAGGCGGGAGATGGAGATGGAGTACATGTCAAGAGGACTACCTTTGCTTCTTTCTTGTCGCACCAAAACCGTTGGCCATGCCGTGAGGCGAAGCCACCGACTTGACGTAGGCGGCATGCATGAACAGCATGAGGCACAGCAGCGGTGAGGCTGGACAGGACACACGACAGGCCAATACGTGCTAGCCGTGCCGGTACTGTTGCGGCTCTACAGCAGGAAAGATCGTCGAGCTGCGACGGCGATGGCGATGGAGATGTCGATGTCGATGGCGATGACGGAAGACAGAGTCTTCACCCTGCTGATTGCCGTCGCGAATCCGCTGACCAGGCTTCCCTTCGCGCGGGCGCGCTTGTTGGCTGGGAAAGGATGCGTCGAATTTCCGAGGGCGTCCCAGGGCTGCTTTTGCTCGGAGGATGCTAGTTCTGGTGTGGACTGTGCTGCAGGTACAACAACAAAGTGACAGCTCAGTGGGGAAAGGACGGCTGCGCCGCGAGCGACCTGGGATGGGCTGCGGAATGCATGAAAGCCAGAATTGAGCCGCTGCATCGGGCTGCCCACGCCTGCGCCCACGACGACGGCCAGCGTGCACTTCCGTCTCTATGCAGGCGGGTGTAAATAGCTCACGGTGGCAGTCCCGTGCTCTCAGTGAATTGGGTGCTACTAAGAGTCTAGCGAAGGGTCGGTTGATAGGTTGCTAGTGCACGCCCCATGCCCAGTCGCTCCTTCCCCTTCTCCACGTCTTTTCCGCGTCGAGAGTCGGTCGCTCTTTCTTCACTATACGTGCCTGTCCTACGTGCCTTCCTCTGACCTCCCCGTCCCCTCGCACGCTGCTCGTTGCAGCACCACAGGTCGCTCCCGCCTCGCCCTCGACCCGCCGTCTCAGCAACGCCGAGTCGCGTTCGCCGGTTGCATAGCCTCGTTCCTGGCCTACGGCTGCGGCCCTGTCTCGCTGCTGTCACAACCACCAAGCCACGCACCTCTCTGCCACTCCCGTCCACCTCCCTTCCTCTTCCCCTCCGTTATCCGGACTCCATCGACACCATGGCGAGCGGCAGCACGAGCTCCAACGTCGTCGGCGTGCACTACCGCGTCGGCAAGAAGATTGGCGAGGGCAGCTTCGGCGTCATCTTCGAGGGCACCAACCTGCTCAACCAGCAGCAGGTCGCCATCAAATTCGAGCCGCGCAAGAGCGACGCTCCTCAATTGCGCGATGAGTACCGCACATACAAGATCCTCGTGGGCTGCCGTAAGTACCGACCTCGCTTCCCCTTTACCGCTTGTTTTGGTGCTCGTGATCGACACCACCCTGTATATCAACGCATGTATGCACCTCGACTATGTGGCTAATCATCTGCAGCCGGGATCCCTAATGTCTATTATTTCGGCCAGGAAGGCCTACACAACATTCTGGTCATCGACCTCCTCGGCCCGAGCTTGGAGGACCTGTTCGACCACTGCAACAGGAAGTTCTCCATTAAGACGGTCGTCATGGTAGCCAAGCAGATGGTACGTTCCGACAGCATCATTGCACTCTCCTCTGCTTACACCTCATCTAGCTGTCACGGGTTCAGACCATCCACGAGAAGAACCTCATCTACCGCGATATCAAGCCCGACAACTTCCTCATCGGCCGCCCTGGCTCAAAGAGCGCCAATGTCATCCACGTCGTCGACTTCGGTATGGCGAAGCAGTATCGTGACCCCAAGACGAAGCAGCACATCCCGTACAGGGAACGCAAGTCTCTGTCCGGTACCGCTCGATACATGAGCATCAACACCCATCTCGGGCGCGAACAATCCCGTCGCGACGATCTCGAGGCGCTCGGTCACGTCTTCATGTACTTCCTGCGCGGTGGACTGCCATGGCAAGGTCTCAAGGCTGCGACCAACAAGCAGAAGTACGAGAAGATTGGCGAGAAGAAGCAGACCACCCCCATTAAGGATCTGTGCGATGGCTTCCCTGGTACGTTGGCTGCATTCACTAATTCTATCACTACTAACAATGCGCAGAGGAATTCAACAAGTACCTCAGCTACGTGCGTAACCTCGGCTTCGAGGACACACCCGACTACGACTACCTACGGGAGCTGTTCACTCAGGCTCTCAAGAGCACCGGAGAGGTCGAGGACGGCGAGTACGACTGGATGAAGCTGAACAACGGCAAGGGCTGGGAGGTCCTCAAGTCGCACCCATCGGCTGCGCAGGCGATGCACCACTCCAACGCCAACCCTAACTCATCCATGGCTGTCAACATGCAAGGCCAGCAACACAGGCAACAAAAGACCCACCTGCCTATCGACCACCACCGTCTCAACGAGCCTCTGCCAAAGCCTGGCGCGACCCGCGCTCAGCCCGGAAGGAGCCCACGCGAGACCATGAACCGTGACTCGCAAATCAAGCGGAAGAGCATGGGCGAGCTTGCGCCGCCCGAGGGTGCCTCGACGCAGGCCCAATTCCAACACAGCCAGCCCAACCTGGCACAGAACAACCGTGCTGCGCCTGCCAGCAGTCCGAACCCGCAACCGACGCGACAGAGTGCCGAAAAGCCTAGCTTCATGCAAAAACTGGCGAATGCCCTGTGCTGCGGCGCCAGCAAGTAGTAATCGCGGTCGCCAAGCTTGGTTTCCTTCCCTTTGCGTTGCATCCTGGAGTCCGTTCTTTGAGCGATAGTGTTCCCGGTCACGTTTTCTTCCTGTATAGGTATCTTGTAATGATTGATAGACGGGATCGAAAATCTCCTTCCACGGTAATAGTTACGACGACCGAGCGACCGAACCGCCTCCCACACCAGCCTGGATTCCTCATCAGCGCCGAAAAACATCATCACCACCCTCTCCTTCACCTCTGCGCTCCCGCGTTGCGAGACTACATCAGCTGGCAGTAGTGTGGGAGCGATTTTCCATTGGGCGCTTGCGGCGTTGCGGTGTGCTTGGGGAGGCTCGCACTTGTGGCATCTCATTTTCATTATTCATTTTGGCACGAGGAAAATATAGCATGTAAAGGAGTCTCTTCTGACGGCCCATCGCGTGTACAGGGCGACAGACGGATCTCGTTCTAGTTCAGGTAGAGTAGTCGGGCGAATAGACGCACTTACTACACCAAATTTCATCTTTGTCCAGTAGTGACGTTTGCCATGGTCAACATCATTGATGATCCATGGATGTCTGTCTGGCATTCTTGGTAGCGGCGATCTGAGGGGTCGGTCATGGGAGGGCACCAGGGAGCTATGGCCTCTTTGCGTATGCGATTGGAAGGTGCCGTAACAGCGGCAATCCATGACTCCATAGCTGTGCGTGCCTATAGCGCAAGAACTTGACTTGTAGCTTGATTTGCACTTGAATCTCTTCGAAAACCCTTGCGCATTCTTTTGGATTTAGGTATCCGTCCATTTTGACTTTTTCCTTCGCCATTCCAATATTCCCACACGTGAGGTACCCGCGCAGGGTCCAACGCGACATCCCAACAACGAAATTAAGCTCGTCCACCCCGGGGCCCTGCGATTCCATCACCCGCACCCTCTCCTACTACCGGCTCATCGATCAGCGGCGCCTTGCGAAAGTTGCGATGGCGTCGGGACGCGATGTGCGCGATATGCTCGGGCTGCCTGCTGCCGGCGGTGATGCGCCAAAGGCAGTAGGTCCAGCAGCCGTGGCAGCGCAGACTCAGAAGCGCTCAAAGCCTGCAGGAGGGAGCAGGAAGATACGTACGTTTGGCAGTCCTTACGTCTTTCCTTGGGAAATCGTCAAAAGGTCGAGACTGACTCTCATTCGACCAGAGGGCGTTGCGCGCGAGGTTGCTGCGCTATATGGCGAACGGCCGCCGCCTGTCGCCGTCTACGAGGAGAAGAAGGCGTATCGGGCGAAGAGACAGAGCACTGGCCCTGCAAAGAGATGGTATGTACGCGCGACGCACTGCGGAGGATTGGCTAATTCGCGCTTCTAGGGTACAACAGCCGTTTATGAATCCGGCGCGCAACGATGGCCTCGTCCTCAAGCACTGGCGGCGCAAGCCCACGACCGCACCACCCGTACAGGAAGCCGACGACGCGCCGATGCAGGAAAGCGACACCGCCGACAACTACATCGAGACGTGCGCCGACTACGCCAAATACGACATCAAAGTAGACATGCCGGGCTTCACAGACGAGGAATACAACCAGTACCTGCGGAGCGATGACTGGAGTCGCGAGGAGACAGACTACCTATTCGAAGTGGTAAAAGACTACTCGTATCGCTGGCCTGTGATATGGGACCGCTACGACTACAAGCCGACGCAACCACGCCCGTCAGAGCCAGCAAACAGCGAGGACCAAGCGCTAGCCACCATGCCCTTTGCGCCGTCGAAGAAGCGGTCGCTAGAGGACCTCAAAGCACGCTTCTACGATATCTCAGCCAAGCTCATGAAGCAGCGCATACCGGAAGTCTCCATGGACGCCGACCAATACAGCCTGTACGAGATGCTCACGAAGTTCGACCCGGTTATGGAGCGGAATCGAAAGATGTTGGCCACGGCACTCATCAACCGCACAATGGACGAGGTCAAAGAGGAGGAGTTCCTGCTCACTGAGCTGCAGCGCATCAACATGGCGGCCAACCGACTCGATGCCGAGCGCGAGGAGCTCCGGGCACGACTGGACGCACCACCGCAGAACCAGGCCGTTTCCGCAGGACTACAAGCCTTTACATCATCACAAGCCCTCCAGGCCCTCTTCCAACAGCTGTTCCAGCAGGATCGTAGTAAGAAACGCGCATCTGGCGGTGGAACAGGACCTGGTAGACTCAGCCTCTCCGCAAACGACATGGTACACACTCCTGGTTCAGCACAACAACAGCTCTCGGCAGCAAATCGGCGGCAAAGCATGGCACAGAACCAACAACCCACCGCCCAGACGCCTGTCAAGCACCTCTCTCCACATCAAGAACACCGCTTCAACGTCTCAACACACGAGAGACTTACCTCGGGTGTCACATTTGGCTCGGACAAGCTGCTTAAGATGCGACAAGCAAAGAGCAACGTCCAGACACAAAAGATCGGCCAAATGCTCGCGGCGTTGGGCGTTAGTGACATCGTCAGCATACCAACGAGCAAGGTCGGCGAAGTCTTTGAGAATCTCGTATCGAAAGTTAGCAAGCTACTCGACGTGCGTAAGGTCCGAGAGAAGGAGGAGGGAGAGTGCAAAGTCTTGCTTGCTATGAAGGCCCGACGAGATGGCGGTGGTGAAGGAGGCGAAGGACAACCAAAACAAGAAGTCCCTGAATCACAACAACAAACACCCGGTGGGGACGACGACGCCGACGGGGAGAATGACGACGAGGAAGACGAAGACGACGTCAACAAAAACTACGGCGATGATGCCGAAGCCGATAGGGACGACCGCGAAGATAACAACGACGCTGACAACCCCGATGATGACGCCGAAGGTGAAGAAGATGAGGGTGGTTTCAACGGCGAAGACGACGATGGCGACGTGGATGCAGAAGGCGAAGATGAGAGTAGTAAACAGCAGTCTCGAGCAACCAGTCAAGGTGCGACGGGACAAAGCCATAAGCGGAGCGCCAGTGTCTTCTCTCAAGGCAGTGAAGTCAGTAGCAAACGGGCGAGGAAATGAGGGGGCTGGCTTTGACTGGGAGTGTGGTTTATACTTTTGACTTCTGCTTTTGATAGCATAGCGATGGCGTTGGGATTGGATTGACAAGAAGGGAAAACATTCGTCATTGGCATCACTGGGAGAATGATACGGATATGAATATGGATAGGGGACTGGAATAGCCCTATTGGTATTGTTAGCTACGATGCATCACTATCCACTGCATAACGCAGGAATGTACAACATCATCCTACCTCATGCAACTACTTATATCTTCGCCTTGACCTCCTCCTGTTCCAGTCTTGCAAACAACGGCGCGTTTCTTCCCCCACGAAACAGATCCAACATCTCCTTACCCATCCACGCCTGCCTGCTCTTCGCCAGCCCTGTCTCCAAATCCGCAAATCGATCCGCTTGAATAAATATGCCAGCACCATTCGCCTTGCTGCCCTCATTGAACAACCAACACACCGCCAACGCCACGGCTTCCGGTCGATTAATCGGCACACCCGCCTCCGCCATCTGCTTCGCGTACGCATCAGGCTGCATAGCCAACTTAGTGTTGTTCGCCGTCAAGATAGGCGTAACCGTAATCGCTGGCGCAACAGCCGAAATACTAATACCCAGTTTCGCACATTCCTGCTTCAACGCCCTCATCAAGCCCACCACCCCATGTTTCGCCGCAGAATACAACGGCGCACCCGCTGAAGCCAGATACCCCGCTAAACTCGCCGTCAACACAATCGAACCACCCTCTGCCCCGTTTTTCCGCAGGTAGTAGATGGCGAGTTTGGTCGTCGCAGCCGCGGCATTCATGTCCAGCGTCAGCGTCCGGTGATCTGGTTCTGCCAGTTCCCCCTCGCTATCCAATGCATCGTTGAAGAATTGGTCGCCATGTTCGGCTATCCCCGCGTTGACGAATACACAGTCTATGCGGCCGAAGCGCGCGTAGCCTGCTGCGAAACCGCCGCGTTGGGAGGCCCAGGAGGTTATGTCGCAGGTGTGGGTGAGCAGGTTGGAAGCTGCGTGCTTGAAAGATGGAGGTGGCGGTTGGAGATCGAGCAGGATGAGGTTGTGGGATGGGTTTAGGGATGAGAGGAGGGTTGCTGTTGCGAGACCTATGCCGGAGGAGCCGCCGGTTATGAGGATTATTTTTGGGGTGCTGGAGAGGGTTTTGAGGGCGGAGGGAGAGGGCGTGAAAAGTGTCATTGTGGGTGGTTTTTGTGTGGATGGTTGGTTATAGCGAGACTGAGATGGATGTGGTTTTGCCAAAGTAGTACTTGACAGGAAAGAAGTTTTATAAGATAGAATCCAAGAGAGACGGGATACAAGAGGGAGAGAAGGTGGATATCGTCGATGCGGCTGAAAACATGCACACAATCTGTTTACCTAGGTTATATGTTGTAGTTGCGGGGTTGGCCTCGGAGGTGTCTGGATTGAGTCGACTCCTGGTATAATCGCCGCTGGATCGACTAGATCAATGAGGATAATTTTACGTGATCTCGCATCTATCCAGCTGCATGTAGTAGCATACTATGTTGTCTTCACACTACGACGACAGTACTTTTGGTTTGCCATCAGCAACTGCAGCAGCCCTTTACAGTTATTGTGTCGAGCTTCCGAAATGCATATATCGTCATAATCTGACGTCTCTGTTGATAAATGGAGTTTCGAAAGGGAGGATAGTAAAGAACTGCGGGTGAAGTCGCGGTGCTGTAGTCTCAAGACGCCCCGGAGGGAGCGACGCGGGCACGTGTCGGAGGTCTAACCGCTTTCGGAACGTACACCTGGAGTTTCGCGATCTCGAGCATACGAGCTTCAAGATTCCCAAGTGACCAGCTCACCCAATACTCAAACTCCGCGCTACAATCAGTCCTCCGCGGGGAAGCAGAATCGCAGACATGTGGAAACCAACATTGCTGCTCGCAGCCGCGCTGGCGGTGCCGTCACAAGCGCTGCACTTCTTCATGGACGGAGCGGTCCAGAAGTGCTTCTACGAGGAATTGCCCAAGGACACGCTGGTTGTTGGTACGACGCTTCCTTACATATGAGTCTCCTGGCCTGGAGACGTCGCAGAGTCAGCGGAGGGACCCATGGCTAACAAACCCCAGGCCACTACCACGCCGAAGCATGGGACGACGCAACCAAGACCTACCAAACCAAGCCCGACGTCGGCGTCTTCGTCACCGTGGAGGAGACATTCGACAACAACCACCGTATCGTTGCCCAACGGGGTAGCTCGAACGGACGCTTCACCTTCAGCGCTGCCGACAGCGGTCAACATAGGATCTGCGTAACACCCCAGAACGTACCAAGCAGCGGCGGTGGCTGGTTGAGCTCAGGCGTACACGGCACAGTCAAATTCACGCTGGACATGGCGATCGGAGAGACGAGCAGGATCGAGAGCACCGACAAGGACAAGGTCCAGACGCTGGTGCAGAAAGTCAAGGACTTGAACTCGAGGTTGCAGGACGTGAGGAGGGAACAGGTCTTCCAGAGAGTACGTTTGGCGTCCACTCATCCTTGGGAGAGATAATAGGAAGACACCGGCTAACACCTTTTGCAGGAGCGCGAAGCCGAATTCCGCGACCAGTCCGAACACACTAACTCCCGCGTCGTCCGCTGGACACTCATCCAACTCGTTATCCTGGGTGTGACATGCGTCTGGCAACTATCGCACTTGCGAGCTTTCTTCATCAAGCAGAAGCTCACCTAGAATCGTCGTCGATTACACACAACTTGTTTCGTTTCCGGCGGGCGCGCGATGGCATGACAGAAGACATGGAAGAAAAGGCATATTTTACCTGGTTCGGCGAAACGCTCTTGTATGTGAGCTGTAGGATATGGCGTTGCAATAACGGATTGGTGGGTTTAGTGTTTGTGTACTTGAATGAAGCATGGCATTACGCTGAGTGTGTCTCCAGAGATGTGCGATTGCGTCTCGTGCCCTGGTCGTGTATCTAAGCGGACGCTGAGTTCGAGTCTCTGCAGTCGCAAGTGCTGGGAAGGTTATTCAGCACCGAGAGATTACCATACCAGCGAATGATTCACGCCCGACAGTTCTTTCCATACCGGCAGGATGACTCGCTATCGATAGTGATTCACGCGCGGCAGACCGTTCACGCCCGGCAAGGGATTCAGCACCGACATGTTTACCATATCGGCAAACGATTCACGCCCGGCATATCTTCCCATATTGATATGTGATTCACGCCCGGCATCTTTACCATACCGGCAAACCATTCAGCACCGGCATATTAATCATGCCCGGCAACTTACTATACCGACACTATTCAGCAGTGACACATTCACGCGCGGCAGACCATTCAACCCCGTCAAACTATTCAACCCCGTCAAACTATTCAGCCCCGTCAAACTATTCAGCCCCGTCAAACTGTTCAGCCCCGACAGACCATTCACGCGCGGCAGATCATTCAGCTCCGTCGAACATCCACGCCCGTCAAAATGTATCAGCCCCGTCACTTTCCACCACCGGCATGTTTACCATATCGGCAACCTATTCAGCACCGACGGATGAATTACGCCCGACAAATTGCTGTGTACTACCATGCACAATACCGATATGTCCATACTCTCACCAGATTTAGCACCGGCATATCTTCCGCGGTGAGGTACAGACCATCTTATCAAACCCACCCCATCGCCAATACTGATACAACCACTGCTAGCGATCTAACCTCCAAGGTACGGGTAGAGCGGCCTCCCCCGAGCCCATCTTCCCGTTCTTCGTCCGCTGCAAGTTCCTGCCGTTTCCGCCCCCACGCAGCCTCGTGCAGCCCAGCCTTGGTTCAGCCTCGTCCAAACCAATGGAACAACTTGGTACTTATCATGTGGCTGTCAAGCCCAGGCTCACATCAGTTCACTTACCCATATCAGATGGTTCATGACGCAAACGTACTGCTATCTGACCGATGTGTGCAACAATAAGACGCCCCTCGACCTGAAATGCGGCTCAAGAAAGCGCCATCTTCACAACTTGGCTTAATGTTCATGAACGATGAGGTCCCATAAAGTGGCTTACCGCGCAAGAAATTACTCAATATATGACAACACAAGTCTAGACATTTACGAGCATAATTCAACTGGATGAACACCACCCTGGTACATGGCTGGATTGCCTCGCCAAATGAACGCGGCACAATCGATATCATCTGGAGCTGCGTCATCACTGTCTTTTTGTGCAGTTGGTCTGTCGTTTTCCTGAATATACCCGAAAAGCACGACTTCCGATCGTATCTGTCGACAAAGCTGTCATGGGTTGCATTCACCATCTTCTTTCCTGAGATCCTTGCGTCGTTCGCCCAGGTCCAATATCTCTCTGCCCGACACTCTGTGGCCGCGTTTCATAAACTCGGGTATCCTGAATGGTCCATGACGCACGCCTTCTTCGCCGACATGGGTGGCTTTGTGCTTGATGCCCCAGACTATCCACGCTTTCCCATCAACGCCCACCAGGTTCACTACCTTGTAAAAAATGGCTTCCTCGACTTCCCCACGATAAAACGCGAAACCCTCCAGGACAAGAACAAAGCAGACGCTTTCGTACGTATCCTTACATCCGTTCAGATCTTCTGGTATGCACTTCAATGCATCGGTCGTGCTGTTCAGCACTTGGCTGTCTCGATGCTCGAGCTTGATGTCGTAGCCATCGTGCTGTGTACTTTTCCGACATTCTACTTCTGGTTCCATAAGCCCCTCGACGTTGACACGACGGAGACATTACACCTCGTAGGATCACTCCGACTAGGTGATGTACTGGCTTTAGCAGGGGATGCAGCCAAACAACCCTTCAAATCCACACCACTCGACTTTATCAACTCGCCACCGGATCGTTTCCAGATTCTCGATCCTATCATGTGGGGCTTCGAGCACTTGATTCCAGTGAGCACCCGCTCGAATGTCCCAATTACCCGATTCCGAGATACCTTGCGTATGAATCCCGGGAAGGTGACCCCGTCCGAGATTGGAATTTCTACGATCATATCACTCACCTTCATCTT